GGCCCAAATGAGGGCAAATAGACGGAACACGTCCAACGTTACATCCGACGACGACTCGGAGACGGAGGACGACGAAGGCGGCGCATCAGCGTGACCTTGGACTACGACGTCCTAAACTCATCATAAGGTCATAAGGTCACAAGTGATGTATGCACAAGTGATGTATGCACAAGTGATGTATGCACAATTAATGTATGCCCAAAGTACTCACTCGCTTGTAGAGGTTGTGGCCTCTGCTGTAGTATCGGTTGAACCACAGCGGCGACCACTTGTAGATTGTCTCGTCGTCTTTGAAGGCATCAGAACTGTACGTCATTACCATCACCATCACCGCGCTCACCACCACCAGACCACTCGTCGCCCCGCCCATCTGAGGGGTGAGCTCTACTAATGTTCGTAAAATCGCTTTAATAATGAAGGAACTGCACGTAACTATTTATTAAGGATTCTAATGAGGCAAAACATGCAATTATATAAAATGAAGATTTCTTACGATAATAGTTTGAATTTTATCCTGTCTCTCTATTAAGCTCAGACGAATTAATTTCCCTTAAATGCAAGTAAATCCATTTTACATGTATATTCAAATTTGGATAAACCCCAAATTATTGTTAGATGTTACTGCTCATCTATACATCTATTGTTAGATGTTACTGCTCATCTATACATCTATTGTTAGATGTTACTGCTAATCTAATGCGTCAAAAGACCCAGGATATTGCTTGCGGCAATAGAATAAATCGCGAGTTACAATGACGGGCAACATGAGTATACGAAGTCTCGATACAAGTAACCATAATGATAACCATAATGATGTCTGAGAGAATTATCTTTTTGAAGGAAGTGAGAGAATTATCTTTTTCACACATTAAAAGTTAGAGTAAGTAAGGCAATACGAACATTTCCCCCAAAAATTATGCAGTAAAGATTTTAGCGAGCAATGAGGTCACTGATAACCAAGACATACTACGACGAACGTGTAATAGCCTCGTAAATGTAGCGTGCAATAGCCTCGTTAATAACTTCGTAAAAAATTGCTAGCTCCATTAATTTCAACTTAGTAGGAGTACAAAGAAGATAGAAAAATTATTAAAAATGTACTCCTACTAGAATATTAATAGATGTACAAAGATTTCGCTAGAGAGTGACGATCCAATTTTAGCATACCCAACAAAATTCAAGTAATGAAAACTCTACGGAGTTATAAACAAACATTTAATTGACTTTATTGCATGATATATTATACTTTTACGTCGTTTCTTCTAAATTAATGATTGCAGCAAGAGCTCTGCACGCGCTAAAGTGAAAAAAGTAACGAAACATTTGGGATAAATTTAGTGCTCGGGCATATAGGGGCCCAACAGTCTTCCGCTGCCGATTGCCTGCGACACTAGAGAGACCTGACACTTATTCCTTACCTTATGTTTGAAAAAACGTTCGATAACCTTTAGGTCTTAGGAGAATATGAAGAGGGGCCAGAGACACTGACCGCACTGGCCGAGCTGTGCAACAGGTTTGGGGCCAGCGACTCCACGGGACTCCTTATATACCTGGCCACACCCTCAGCCTGTTGCGTCCTGGGTTCCTGCGTACGCTGAACTTAGCGCTGACTGAGCGTTGCGTGCGCTGAACATAGCGCTGACTGAGCGTTACGTGCGCTGAACATAGCGCTGACTGAGCGTTGCGTGCGCTGAACATAGCGCTGACTGAGCGTTGCGTGCGCTGAACATAGCGCTGACTGAGCGTTGCGTGCGCTGAACTTAGCGCTGACTGAGCGTTGCGTGTGCTGAACACAGTCATGTGAGATGGTGATGTGGCAACAGTCATGTGAGATGGTGATGTGGCAACAGTCATGTGAGATGGTGATGTGGCAACAGTCTTGTGAGATGGTTATGTGGCAACAGTAATGTGAGATGGTAATGTGGCGACAGTCATGTGAGATGGTGATGTGGCGACAGTCATGTGTATGTGAGATGATGATGTGGCAACAGTCATGTGAGATGGTGATGTGGCAACAGTCATGTGAGATGGTGATGTGGCAACAGTCATGTGAGATGGTGATGTAGCCCCGACCATGGGGGGTATAGTGATCACAATGTTCACAGTAAAGTTTACCCTGAAACATCTCGAAGTTCTCAGAACTTTGAGGAACTTCTCGGCCGAAAACAACGTGTTGACCGGCAAGTTAGGGTGCAAATCCTTTACTTTGAAGCGTCGGTTCCGCGTACTTTTTACAGGCGTCTTGGCAACACAATATTTGTGCAAAACACTCTGATAGTTTTAGATATTAAACGTACAAACATAATAAGATATTAAACGTACGAACATAAGTTTAGACACTAAACGTACAAACAGAATTTAACTGTTTCGCGCATTGCATAGCTTCTCACTAATGTAGCTCGTAGTAGCGCGTAGTCATACAAAGTCATCGCAAATGATTTTGATATTTTTTTTGTGTTTGCAAATTTGCTGTGCATCAAATTAGTGATGATAAACACCAATATGAATTATGAATTGAATGGGAGAACTTCACATCAGAATCTGTCTCATCAGCCAGCTGCCAGACGGAGCTCTCAATTTTGTTCACGAACGGAAACTGTGCCGTCATGTTTTCTTTGTATGTCTCGACTAGTTATCGGTGTCTCGTAGAGGAGTGTGTTTCCCGTCAGTAAGTCAGTTATATATTCAAGAGACAGTTAGTCTGTGGTACAAGATAGCGATAACTGCTATGGAAGAAATTACGCGTAGATGCTTTTTCATATCCACTATTCAGCACGGACAGGTGGTCAAAAATTTTAAAACTCTTTGGAAATGAGGACCGCTTTGAATTATGCAGAAGTGACAGCGGACCATCAATTGAAAAAATTGTGCTGTATGCAAAAATGGGAAAGCAATCCTATGCATGTGCCTTCAACCTAATGTTCGGTATCAGTGGCAAAAGATGTTTTATTCGAATTTTAATATTACTTAAACCAAGCAGTATCGCTTCATTCAAACAACTTCTAAACTGCTATATTATTATTCCCCGATATTTCAGTTTTGCATGCGCCTCTCTTCATCCTTGTCGACCAATTTTAGCGGGGCCTCTCATACTGTATGCTCACACCAATAAAACTTCCACATCTATCAACTTACTTTCGTCAAATTTTCAATATTAAATGGTTGCATTTAGGCCTTAGGTAGAGTGGTTTAACCCTGTGTGACTGAACAAAAAATTTTATGAACTATTTATTTTTTGAAGAACATTGTTTCGCTTCTAATTCAACTCATGAGATTTAACTTATGTATGACTAAGTAATGCGTAGACAGTTTTTAATTTCGTGACTGAAACAAGGAACCTTCCTTTAATGTGATATTATTTATAGATAGCATTAGTTACAATTGGCTGCTATAAGCGTCACTAATCGTCTGATAGCCCCGCCAAGTGTGGATTTATTTGATGTAGATGTAAATAGCAATTTTCGTGAACATTGTTAACGAGATATTGTCGTGGGTTTTTTTAGTTGAGTTACCCCTCGCGGGTGTACTCAGTGTGACTGGGTGGGATCCAAGCTTTTCGACTCGAATTCAGAGAGCCAGGTCTGGACTGCTAACACTTTGCCGTACCTGAGGGGACATATCTCATAAGCTGAACCGACTCAAAGGACGCTTGGTAAAACCAAGCGTAAGCAAGAGATCCTCTAACGGACTAAATACGGCGTAGGCAGAGTTCTTCATTAGTCCCAGGTGCTGGCGGCGTTTCGGTGCTGCTAATAACCGTACCGTGCACACCCTTGTATCGAAGGAGCTAATAGGGGCTCGAGTCTTTGGTACAGTGGCGTGTCGTAGGGGCTCGAGTATTTGATACAGCGGCTTATCGAGGGCTCGTACTCCTCGATGGTCGTGCTTTTGGGGCGTAACTGCCATCTAACCTTCGCTTTTCGCAGCAGTGTATTAAGGCTCGTACCGCTGACAACTACGGCTAGTTGTTGTCATCGCGGTACCTCTCGAACCCGCATTCTTTGCTGTTACCCACATTTGTTGTTCTCAGCAGTATATTAGGGCTCGTATCCCTGGTAATTTCGTTTTGTTGTTGTCGTCTCGGTGCGGCTTGAACCCGTATCATTTACTGTCCACTTTTGTTACTCTCGGCAGAATTTTTTAAATCGCCTGAAAATCACCAGTATACTCCGAAAAGTCCCCTCGTGTTCATTCCTCCTCTCTCCAACGTAAGGGAATCTCGAGCCGGACCAAAGCACGACTCTTTAGCCATTGTGTTTAAAACCAATAAGAAAGTATATCCACCAAAGTCGGCACGCTACCCGTAATTATTTCAACTTCGCGGCGGTGTTTCCGGTTACATGTGCAAGAAATCTCATCCTTAGGGCATTGAAATACTCATGAGTGCGTTCAGACATTTCTGAGTGCATTCAAATGCTCATGAGGGCATTCAGATACTCCTGAGCGCATTCAAATGCTCATGATGATAATATACTGATACTCATGCTGATAATATACTGATAACGTACTGATAATGCACTGATAATGTACTGATAATATACTGATAATTAACTGAAAATACACTAATAATACAGTAATAATATACTGATAATGTCCTGATAATACACTAACAATATACTGATACTGAACTGATAAATCCTGATGCCATTGTGATATTATTCAACAAATCACCTACTACTTGATGATTTCATTGTACGTCATCAATCATCTAACCTCTGTGAACGCTGTAAGTAGTGAAGAAAACTACGAAAATGGTGTAAACTGTAAATAGTGACAAAAACGGAGTAAGGAGTGATGAAAACTGCGAAAACGGTGTAAATAGTGACAAATGGGAATGACAAGGTTTTAGATTAAGACATTCGAATTTGTAGGATTTATTTACTAAGGATTATTAAATATAAATTTACATGATTAATGACAGACGGAGACAAATGTGCAAGTTTTTTTTTTCAAATTCAATATTTTTGGACTGGCTTATGCCATCTTTATCCATCTCGAGAAGGTGACGTTAAGAATGACACTAGCCTCATTTACAGACATGGACACCAAATGTATAAAGATTAAAAGCATCACGTAAACTAATATGATTATACACTAAATATGTGACTGATGTACTGATAAAGACAATCGCAACAAATCCAAGAAGAACTTGAGCCTTGCTTCGCTGTCCGCACCATCGCTGCGAATAGAAGGCTTTGGCCCATTATTGGCTCGACAGCCAATATCAGACGTGAAAAGATCTCACTTCTCTCAGGCGTCTCACGTCACCGGAATATGTAAGGGTATCTTGCGTACCTTCTTGCTACCCATTGGCGGCTTATAGGCGGCCTACAATTAGTTTCTGATGGCCGGCGCTGTTACAGCTATAACTCATCGATTTCTTCCTCGAGGTCTAGATTTGCATGAACCTATTTTTCCCGAAGAATGCTTGCGGGGAAAGCTTGCGCGTGGTGTTTATTCTGAAGCTAAATTGGAAAAGTAAGGAAATGGAACGGGATGTTTCTTTCGGCTATAATGTATGTGGGAAGTTATTCTTGTTAAAAGTGTCCGAAAATGACGTGTGGATCTCTCTAGGAAACTAAGGGAAAATAAATTACCTACTGCAAAAAGTGAAAGCATTCTTGATACGTTTTATTTGGTTAATGTACGGCCGTTATATAGCCTCAAAACTATAGGCTATCAGACGAAAATTCTTAAATTACTAAGTTTTCACGGCCATATCTCGGAGCTCGCGTCTGAGCAGCTTCCCAGTTCGGTTCTTAGGCAAAGTTTCGACGTAGAAGATGCCAGCAGCGAGCTGCTTGTACGGGGCAGCATTTTCTTTCATGTGCGAATTGATTTTATTGGAAATTTGGCCTAAAATCTGTGGGTCGGTTACGTTTTCTTTCAACACGACGAACGCTCGTGGCAGTTCCCCGGATCTGTCGTCCGGCACTCCTACCACTCCTACGTCCAGCACTTCTTCTACCTGCAGGATCAGATCCTCAAGTTCTGAAGGAGAAACCTGCAAGTAACGTAAATTGAAAATAAGTTTAGTTTCTGAAGAATATTATTATTAACCCAAAAAAATCGCGAGATTATCTTTCAGACAAATTATTTTCTTAGTAAGCACATATTTAGATTCATGGCAGGCCACTCACGACTTCGTTAACGTTGATGAATGAGTGCGCATTGACTGCGGTGGAGTTCATAACAAACTTTCGTTTGAAAAACAGAATGTTTAACTGGCAACTCTTTCTAAATTTAACGTTTAAAACTTTTCAATATAATTAAGCTTCAAAATCTTTTGTAAAACGCATACCTCATAGTAACTTCAATAAAACCTCAGTTGATTTCAGTTAATTGTCTGCTTCCGAGAGGCTTTTGTAATCAGAATAGATTAAAAAATTATCGGGATCAGATTAAAATTTGAGAAAATCATAATTAAAATTTCGGTGCTTTCTTTATAATGATCAGCATAAGATAGGATAGACTTAGGAAACTTTGAGACTACCCAAAAGTAGGATTAATAACTTTGTACACAGATCATATACTCATACTTGGAAATAATTATGTTAGAATTAAAATATTATCGAATATTTAAAAATTGCATCGAAATCATCAAAACTCCCATTTATCATGAAATATGATAGATGCAAGTAAAATCTTCCACTCACTTGGAAAGCCTTGACTTTAATGAGTTCTTTGAAGCGGTCGACTACAGAGAGAAATCCGTCCTCGTCGTAGCAGACGACGTCACCAGTCCTGAACCAGCCATCGGGTGTGAACGCAGCCGCTGTGGCTTCAGGGTTCTTGTGGTAGTGCGAGAATAGCTGCAAACAATTGCTGTTTTAGCCTTTATTCTACATCATCTCGATTCAACCTTATATTTGATAGCAGCTTTATTCAATTTTATTTTTGGTAGCATAGGGGGATCTACATTTAATCGTGTAGCACACGGTTATCTTTAGTATCTCTTTGATTCTGTAGAATGAGGTCATAAAGATTTGACAGAAATTTAATTGCACAAACTAAGCCCAGTTTAATTCTTTATCCATCAGTCTATATTTAAGCTGCAAAATAAATGAAAAATAATAATATTTTTGCTAGTTTTCGTCGTAAATTAAAAGCCGATAGTTTCCCCACCGGCGGCCCCCTGACGACGAGCTCTCCTGGGCGGTGTGGCCCCAAAGGCTCTCTCGTCTCCAGATCCTCGACTCTGGCCTCCATGTTGGGGAAGAGTTTGCCGCAACTGCCAAGCTTCTGCTGCAGGAGCGGCGTCAGCGTCAGACACAAAATCTCCGTCATGCCCAGAGCTGACATGAGGAATAGTTCATGTTTTTATCAGTTCAGTATCAGTATCAGTTTATCACGTGATGCTAGTCACAAACTTATAACATGGGAAGTAGTTGATCTGACTAAATTTCTTATGTTACAATTTAAGGCAAGTCAAAATTTATGTATTATGCATATGTGTTTCAAACTGTTCACTGGTTTATAACAAAATTTATAGTTTTATTTTTAGAATATCAAAGAAACCAAGCACTCAGACCAGAGCAAATCACCAACAACCGTCTTTATGATGCTGTTTGGCAACACAAATCACCCTGAGACTGTTATTCTAATAGACTAGGCGACTTTATGAATAATTCACCTTCAGTAAACAAACTTCAGAAAAAGTTTTTTTCAGTAAACCAACTAGGCTTATCAGTAGCATGAATTACCTTCTTGGAAAGCAATTTTTTGCGAGGCTTTCTCAGTGAAAGCCTTGGCGACGGCAGGGTGCACAGGAGCGCCGGTGACGATCACGTTGCTGACGCTGGCAAGGTGCTCGGCTGACACCAGCGGCGACTGCGTCAGGAAGTTCAGCAACGGCGGCACAAGGTGCAGGATCAGCGGCTGTCCGATGAAATACGTAATGCAGTTCAAATAAACGTGGCTTCTAAATCCGAAACATTTGTATTTTACAATGAGTATTTTTGTAGTTTCATACAAAAAAGCAAACAAATATCTTGCAAACAAATTCAGCAGAGTTAGAAACAGTTCGCTCAGACACGATGCAGTGGTAAGAAGAATTCACATATGCCAACAACGTGTGCGGAAACATTTTTTTTATTTTTAACTCTATACTTTTTGTCAAATACCTAAGTGTTAGTTAAGCATACCCGGTATTTCTTGGTAAGCTCGGCGAAACGTGCAGGACTAGGTTGAGGTGCACAAACGAGCCTGTGGCCGAGGTAGAAGCAACCCATGGCTACGGCGAGCAGACCGAAGCCGTGGTAGAACGGCATGAGTCCGATGCTTGTCACCTGCTTGCCAGCTACCGAAAACGAGGGACAATTCTTATCGATACAACACGAAAATGACAGGAATTATTGGACACAAACTTTACGCTGTGTGCGTATCGTTAGAGTGGAAGGACCGTCAGATATTAATTTGCTGACTGCGATCTGAGCAAATGAAGTGCTTTGCAAGATCCTAAAACAGAAGTAAATATTACTAGGATGAAACAAAATAATTGTTCATAAGAAAAACTTAGGGTATCATGAAAGAGGAAAATAAGTCCCATGCTGGATCCTTTCCTGCTAGCTGAGTGGGGACTAACTAGTCAACATAAAAACAATGAAATAACAATATTACTTGAAATTTTTAACGAAATTTTAAGCCCGGGGAATAACAGTGGCAACATTATTCACAAGCTTTTATTTCTAGATTTGAATGCTAAAATGAAATACAAAGTAATATAAATGAACAAAGGTGGTGGATAGTAAAAACACTACTACGAACGGGTGGCTTGCGAGGGCAGGTAGCAGCTGGGGTGCGTCAGGGTGGATAGGGTATAACTAACGGGAGGCTTGAGAGGGCGGGTGGCAGCTGGGGTGCGTCAGGGTGGATAGGGTATAACTAACGGGTGGTTTAAGAGGGCGGGTAGCAGCTGGGGTGCGTCAGGGTGGATAGGATATAACTAACGGGTGGCTTGAGAGGGCGGGTAGCAGCTGGGGTGCGTCAGGGTGGATAGGATATAACTAACGGGTGGCTCGGGTGGCAGCTGGGGTGCGTCAGGGTGGATAGGGTATAACTAACGGGAGGCTTGAGAGGGCGGGTGGCAGCTGGGGTGCGTCAGGGTGGATAGGATATAACCAGAGGTGGGCAGTAGCGCGCTACATGTAGCGGCCGCTACTAGCGGCCGCTACATTTTCAATAGCGGTAGCGGCTCTACATTTAAGGCAATGTAGCGGTAGCGCCCGCTACATATTTAAGTAGCAATACGAGGTTTTGCCGCTACAGCGCTACCGCTACATTTATATGTAGATAAAGCCTTTAGATTTTACTTAAAGGGGACCGGCTACCCTCAAACAAAATTTTTTTGTTTACAGACAGATCGTTTTAAAACTTGGTACACATATGTAAAACAGAAATCTAAGACCTTTTTGTTCATGTAAATTTAAAAAAAAATGAAAGAAAACTTGGAATTAATAGAAAACGGCAAATAAGGGGTCTCTAAAAAGTTTATAACTTTTGCAAATCACATGCTACAATGTCGAGACACATATCATTCGATTTGTAACAACAATATCTAGCGACTGTAGAGCCTCGATCTCTTATACACATCTAGATGTGTATAAGAGACAGTGTATGCACAAGTGATGNAGCAGCTGGGGTGCGTCAGGGTGGATAGGATATAACTAACGGGTGGCTTGAGAGGGCGGGTAGTAGCTGGGGTGCGTCAGGGTGGATAGGATATAACTAACGGGTGGTTTAAGAGGGCGGGTAGCAGCTGGGGTGCGTCAGGGTGGATAGGATATAACTAACGGGTGGCTTGAGAGGGCGGGTAGTAGCTGGGGTGCGTCAGGGTGGATAGGATATAACTAACGGCTGGCTAGAGAGGGCGGGTAGCAGCTGGGGTGCGTCAGGATGGGCAAGTAGTTGCTGAGCACGCGGTGTGAGCTGCACACGCCTTTGGGGGTACCCGTAGTACCGCTCGAGTACAGAATCAAGGCCATTTTATCAGGGTGATTCTGGAATGAGTAACTGCATTAATTAGTAAGGGTCACAAAAGATATCAGTGATACTACCTGTTTAATGAGATTTTTCGAGTTACTTAACTGGTAAAGTTGTTTAGCTATGTAAACAGTATGTCTTAATACATTAGTTCTAAGGAAGGAGTTTTAGGAAATGCAATTGAAATTATTTCCAACCTAGGAGCATGATGCCAATCTAACACGCCTTTCAAAATAAAAAACTAGCCATAGGTGCATAAGTTTCAAAATTATATAGCAATAATACAAAACCCTGATATACCTCCACTCTATCAACGGTGGCAAGGCTATTGTCGTTAATGATGTCCAAGAGGTCAGGAAATCCATGAGCAGATTTCCCTATAGTCACAAGAACGACGTCGCGGCCGCTGGTCGTCCTCGTGAGTGCCTCGCGCGCTTGAGCCTCCAGCGAAGCGTCTACCACAACAACTGAGGCGTCGGAGTCGTCCAACTGACGGGCGATTTCCGCTAAAATAAACGATATTGAAGAACATAAAACTTGATAATGTTATGATTCGGAGCATGTTAGTATTTTAATAACATTTGGAGTAAGAGCTTGAATAGCTTATGTTATATTAAAATAATTGTTCCTTATATAGTACTTAACTTTTGACTCTTCAATACGTACAATGCAGTTATGTTATAACTATTGATAATTTCTGAAGGCGCAATTCCAGCACATACTCAAATATAATTTGCACTTCGCTGTCTCATGTAATTCCGGTCTTGCAGTTAGACTGTACTCATAGCGGTTCTCAATACAGAGAAAGTAAACCTGTCGCTGTGAACAAATCGATTTATTTTTATTAAATTTGTATAAATTGCCCGTATGTTAACCTACGCGGCGTAGCTACCACTGAAATGGTAGTGACAGAACATCCGGCCCCCTGGGCCCCGAAGATAACCAATGGGTATTCAGGCACATTGTGAGACATGATAGCAACAGATGCCGGCACCGAGCCATCCTTGCTGAGGCCCTTGAGCGCACTGCCCCACCGCAGGGAACCTTCCATGAGAGCGCCATAGCTGTAGCTGCGCCCGGTCTCGTCGCAAAGCTGTGCACAGAAATTCGTTTTCACGAACTTTTTACAGAAAATAATTTCAATGTTTCGTCTAAAGTTAAGTCGAAATCATTAAATTATTATTTTTTATGTATCGTTGTACATTTCATATCATACTGCACGTCCGAAAATTCTTCAAATACGTTTTACTCGACGTTCACTTCTAGTGTAGATGTATAAATAATCCAGAATGGTCACATTACTATTTCAATATTTCAGCAGGAATTCCGGTGGCTTCTAAATGGCTATTCAGTCATTCAAACAAAGTTTTCTCTGGTTATTATAACAGCTTTATAAAACCACGTCTGTGTAAGATTTCAAACAGTTAATAAATATTGTATGTAAATAAGTTTTACGATTGCTGTATTGTCTGGCCATTGTTGGAAGCGTTCGAAGAGAAAAGAGACGAAGTCACGGTTGGGGAGCGGGTCGAGCCACACGTCAGCGCGCAGCACCCCTTGATCAGAGCTCGTACTGTTAGTAACGGCATCTCCACATTAGAATTGATTCTGGATTCTGGTTTCCTAATCACTTTCATAATTATAATCAAATCACATCGAAATTATTAATTAAATTAATGGGTATTTCCTAATTTGTTCTTCCTAGAATACCATGTGTTAACAAAGGATACGAATACGTAAAAAAAAATAATTCGCAAGGAATAAAATTACATTTCCTTTTCTCCGTAATTCTTGAAAAAAGGTACCGATTGCCAACATCAGCTAAAAACCAATTCTACCCCCTTGCAGATTTGTACCGTAAAGAAATGAACCTAGACTCACCTAATTTGGCATGACGGCTTGGACGTCTTGAATGCGATTTTCTTGCGAAGAAAATATCTATCATGAAAGGCAGACCGTAAGCAACTGAGTGGCGCAGAACCCCCATGGAAGACCCGGCGCTGCTGATCCTGCAGAGACGGAATTCCTACACACCACACCAGTGCTCTACGTCCGTGACCATGTGCTAGTGAAGACGCAATCTGTGATTTGCCAGGTCTTTGGCAAGCGAGACGGCTAACTCGGAACATCCCGTGAAATATTTCGTGGCGTAAAAAATACAAGAATGTAATATGACGTTGAAATCTGAAACACATTAAGATGAGCTTTCAGAGCTTTATTCTCTGGCTCTCAGTTTATTCAGTATATCGACTGAGTTCATTTTAAACAAACCCCTCGTCCTGTGACTCCTGTCTATTCTAAGAAACCCACAAATCGATTACTCAAATACGATCAGAGTCTCTTGAATAGAGTATTATCTCACGCCAATTACAGTAGACAAATTACTGAAAGAAGAATGTTCGACTCACTCGTTTTTGACGAAATTTTGACTTCATGGAAAGAAACACTGAGCTCTTGGACTATGGCTTGTATTTGAAACAGCACGAGGGCATTGAACTAAGGTTATACGGCCAAGCCACTAGACTCTATGCCATATGAGCGACTCCACCACAAGTAAGAGTTCACTAGCACACTAGGTATGCCGGGCAAAGTGGATATGACTAGGGGTAGGTCAGGGAATTATTATTTTAGCGACGGTAGCAACTGCGTGCTGATAGCATTGTCAGATTAGGTATCAATGAGAAACGACATCTGCAGGGAAACGTTTTTCAGTCAAATTATGTTCGATTTTCTCGGAAATCACCCACCATACATATGTAGATAGTCTAGTCGACTCTATAAAGCATCCAATTCAAAAAGTATGATAACGAGAACGAGATTTACTCAGTTGCGGATAAGCGATGAAAAATATTTCAGCAAGAACTGGAAAGTTTAGCCGAGAGAGAAAGCGGACGACAGCTACCGGTAAGAACAACGCAGATAAGATTTATGTACTGGGAACGAGTTAGAAAATAATAGATAGAAAAAAAGACTGCGCGGAGCGAGCTTAGAACCTGTTTCACAATAATATGAGCAAGAAGACGTAGGGTGCGCGGGTAGGAGTTTTCAGAGATCACTGAATTGTAGGTCATTATTACTAAGGTCAATTGGGTAAACTGGATGATGATTTAGATTTATCGAGGCTTTGGGAATGGAGATGATTTCGCGGACCTCGTTGGGTCACACCCTTAGTTATACAACATTGTGCGGTCACCATTATTTGAGAATTACAGGAAACCTATAAGAGTTCTATGATTCTAGGACGTGTATGTGACCTGTGGTTGCTTGAAGCATTTGTGCTTAGGTTGGTCATTACTCATTGGTGAAATAAAGGCTCCTCAGAAAGACAGTGAAAACAAAAAACGGCGAAAATTTACGCAACGAATATTAAAATAAGTAACTAAACTAATAAAAAATATATAATATAGCACTTTTTTGAGGATTGAACTGTCTCATCAATTAAAATAGGCCTTGCTTGCTTTAAGCAGTAAAAACAAAATCTCGGGCTGTGAGTACGCGCTGGATCACAATTTCTCAACTTATCATATCATATCGTAGTGACGTCGGCGCTGAAGAATAGGACTAATGCGGCCTGTTGTCGATTCTTGTACTTTTCGTGTCTTCTCCACAGGAGATCTAAAAATAGTTCCTTTGGGCCGGATCTTTTCGAAACTGACGATAGATGGCGCGAAATAGCTACTAGACTTCCACCAGGTTCGATATGGTACTAGCTGCTAGGCAATTCAAGTCTGAACATATGGTATTTCTACATAGCTTTGACTGGTCTGTTCTTGAACGCGTTCATACTCGGAGCGTCAAAGATGTAATCAGGTAGGATGTTCCACATGTCGGCGACTCGAAGGATGTTCCACATGTCGGTGACTCGTTGTCGCGTGAGACGAGTTGCAACGCAGTTTTTTTATTTGCTTGGCATGAAAGCTTAATTCAAGCGTGGCTTGGCTTAGAAGCTTCTTAATCTTTCCTCGTATTATTTGCCCTTCAAGCCTGAGATTTTTCTTCTTGCACGTCTTTGAACACTCTCTACCAAATTTTGTCTTTATCAAGTTTCGGTGACCACACTGCGTTTCCAAACTCTAGATTCGGGCGCACGACAACGACAGACAACAGCTTTTTCGTGTCTGTCTCTAGCAAATCGTAGGAGCGTCTGATCAGTCCAAGAAGTTTATTAGATCATTTATTCGCTTGCGTTTCAATACGCCGGCAAAATTTCAGCTTCTAGTCACTTGACCTTATTCGCACAAGATTATTATTAACAGGCATGCATTTGTTTAAATGTGTACACAGTAGTTTTCACGCATTTTACTTGTGTATTTCTACAACAAAATGCACAACCAACGCACTGGAGCACCCAACATACACATGCACACGCCTACCCCGACGTCTGGCAACTAGTCAACTACACATAAACAATTAAAGGCCAGGGTTGCCAGATGGAGCCAAGAGAAAAAGGCCACTTTAGCTCACAAAAATGCTCAAAACGGCCCTTTTTAAATTAATATGAAGATTTTAAATTCAAAGTAGTTGAAGCCATGTACAATGCAAACATTTACTCTTCAGGATTTCCGACAAGAAAAATTGCATCAAGTTCTCTAAGTTTACATCTGGATTACCGTCAATGCCACATAAGCGACCAGCCTACATCGAATTATACGTTACTGACCGATTGTAAATAAAAGCCGTATAATGTTGGTTAGTCGTCAGAACTTCGATTTGTAGGATTCGCTTGCCACCCAACAACTATGAAGATTTTCGATCGTGCAAGGAAAGTTGTGGCACTGACGGTAGAATATTTATAAGCAGAAGATGGAAATTGATTTATTTCAAACCCATTTCTGCTGCAGAATGATTATGTAGTCTCTGCAAAACTAAAGTGAATATAAATGCCCATAAAATATTATATTGTCTAACATAACTAGGAGCGGAGTACTTTATCGACATCGAACCAAGTAATTGAACACCGTTCTAGCTTAAGGCAATTTTCTAAAAACTCATTTGTCATGATAACATGGCATCATGACTGACCAAAATACTAGTCTACATTGTTAAAGTCAAATTAGCCATAAAAAAATTAAGGAGCGTATGAAGGATTAAACCAATAAAAAGTGAAATTTTGTGGTGCCTAACACTAAAAAGCTTAATGCATCGAGAAACAGCACTATAAAAATACATCACTAATGAATTTACTACACTTCAAAAACAGAGATAACTATATGCACTCTCAGCTCTGCCAAACATGGTTATTAATTAATATGAGTGGCAGTGGGCAACCGCTTCAACCATGTCTAGCCCTAATTAGGCGGCACTCGGCCAGTGTTGCCACCTAAACGTAAGTTTTGGCACAGTTACCAGTCGAAGTTTAGATCTACTCATCTTGAGGAATACGCAATTTTGAGTGGAGGTCATAATTAATGCAAAATAGTTGAGAGTAACATATTTTTCATAAAAATGCATAATACGGAAAAAACTGCCAAATATATTTTGTCAGGCCAATACATGTCAAAAAAGGCCGCATATGCGAAATCTGGCCGTAAAACGGTCCTTCTGGCAACTCTAAATTAAACATCAGATGCATGGTTGCCAGACAGGGCCTAGGAAAATCGGTTAAATAAGCTCACATAAATTCCAAGAAACCATAAATAACTATTCAGTTAAAATTTTGTATATAAGAATGCAACAACTAAATGTAATTTCAGAAGAATTTTCAGCTTCTGAAATTACATCACGTTAAAAACATATTTATATATATTTGTTCCTGTTAATTCAATGACAAAAAGGCCCACATTAGCGAATTTTGGCCAGGATAAAAGCCAATTGATCAACCTTTTAATTGTCTAGCTAGCGTTACTACAAACGTGGAGGCGTTATGTTGAGGCCAACGTACCCTTTATCTCGGTTTGGCAACTTGCCCAGTTACCTAGATACCATTGATGTGAGGTTCATAAACTGTAGGTCATGACCTCGAGAAGGGTTACGAGTATTTTTCTATTGGTCATGGTGTGTCCAACTGTCAGACCACATTTAAATTGCTAGATTGGAGCTTAACTTTAGTCATGTCATAGCGCTGCTCGTAACTTGACAGATTTCAAAGAAGCGCAAATAAAACTTCAGTTTTTCTCAACTTTGGTGCCTCATCTTTAGTGTAAAATAATATGGTGATTCTGCAATGCATCAGTTGCGATAAGCTCCAAAAAACTGTTATTCCCTTTCAGCTAGAAAACCATCCGAAGGAATATGGAATAATACGTGTTCTCTCTTCTTATTTCAAAGCTGAAGACGCGACGCTCACAATAGGAAAGATGCTCGCCAAACCTTGCTCGATACAGGCTCTCAAAACAGAACTTCGTCAACCATCTGAATGAACGTTCAGACAACATAAGTTAGACAGCGCATTGATGACTCCTCGCCGTACATCAAGCACGAGGTGATGGAGAAAATTCGATTTCCTCCTTCTTTCCTATCCAACTTGACGAGACCACACATGATTGAGCTTTTGGTTTTAGCTCATTTCATCTTGATAGATCAAGTGATGCAAATCAGTCCAAGTTGTTATATAACAGTAGACTGATAATAATAGCAAAAGAGTCTGAAGATATCAATAACAAATTCCAACTTTTTTGAAAAAAAAGAAAAGCGAAGAGCTAAATTGGTTTGTGTCAGCACGTTCGGAATCGCCAGTATCCTCGGCCCTGACAAGCCAAGAATTAAAGTCATTAATAGACACATTATGAGCCAAATTTAGGTTCCAGCCTTCAAAACGCTCGTTGCTGCTCTCAAAGTAATATGGAAAACACATCGAAAATTGAACTGTGAAGCGCATCGTCAAACTCATCAAAGGAAGAGTAATGAAGACTAGGCCATTTTGTAAGGTTTGGCAAGATTTTAATTCTGCCCATCATGACGTCTTACACATCTGGGTTTAAGCTGTCCACGGGCAATATTATTGCTAGCATACTTGATCTGGTGTATAAATTGCAGATATTTTGGCTTCTCAATGGAAATAAAGGGAACAGGTTTTCATGGACATTTGCGTGCCGATTAAGCGTAGCATTGAAAAATAAGTAAACGTTTTTCAAGCTACGATTGGACTTAATCAGCTACTGCAGAACACAGAAGTCGCCATCATCATGCACGATTTAATCGATGTTTCTATAGGCAAGTAAACTCTTAGGGGATGGAAAGTCAGGCGTCGGAGATGAACATCTTGCGGGCAGATCATGGAACGCTTGTCTCCCATGTGATCCGAACGGAACTAAACTTAAACTTCTAGGAATCGATGATAGGAACGCTCTCCTGTATCGTGGTCAAGAAAAGGGATCAGTTTTTTCCGGCCAATAATTTCACAATCTCTATTTTTTGCAGAGCACAATTTTACTGAAGAAACAGACGAGATTGATTTGGTTCGTCGGCACCCTCCAAAACATCGCGAACCTGCAATAACTTCTTATGGAAGAGTGCAATCTTAAGATTTTTCACAGTTTGCTCAATTTTACAATATCTAAGCAATTAAAACAGCCATGAAATGTAAATCGCTCTTCATACACTGCCAGAAAGAGGGCGCTGACTCTGTAACACAGCATCAGTGTCTCGTGCAGTGAAGTATCCACAACCTTGATTATAAATGCCGCTTTAAAAATTCATCTAATCAGCCTGCCCCTACAAAGCCGTACCAGCTCTGTGTAGGTGAGAGGTAAATGAAACAGCTCAATACGGAAGACGTTTATAATCCGACTTTTAAAGACACTCCCTAATCAATACACATTAAGTAAACCACTTTGTTCTGCCATCCCGGAACATTAGAGCAACCCGGGACCCAAAACTCGTTTTGCAGCGGCAGTGCGATGAGATTACCACTGCAACTTTTGCTGGAGATCCATTTGAGTAACGTGCTGTCTTGCTTAAGAGCGTGGGTCGTTTGAGTAATTCCCCTATGTTCTAATTAAACAGACAATGCAGCTGATAAAATTCTCACAAACAAATACTACAAATGAATGCGGATTAAAGTGGTGGTAATTGAGTGTAAGCAGCCGCGTTTTCTGATCACTTCAGAAAATTGCTCACATCTTCAGAAAATTGACTCCAGTTAGTTCGCATGTATCAATTGAACGAAAAGGTTACATTGATTATATAGTAAAATAATTGAAGCAGATCAATAGACTCTGCTTAAAGTATCAATGAAACAAAGACAGAAAATCCCGACTGCGTTAGTAAACTCTGCCATGTTTTCCACCGACGTTGCTTGGGTCCCTCGGCAAGGCTCAGACTCGGGCCTGCTGGGCAAGGCGCTCACTCAGGGCCAAGTTCTGCTGCTGCAGGCGCCTCACGTTCTCCTGGAGCTGAAATAATTATTACTTTACTCTTGGCTTAATCATTCACAAAATAGAGACTATGAGCCAAATGTATTTTGAGTTTGATCTATTGAATTGAATTATTTGTTATACAGCTTGCATCCGCATTAAAGGGAAAATTGTAACTCGCCTTTAACCCTATCCCTGGAAGCATAATTTGATAGTTCTCCCAAATTTAAAATCGTTTCTCAATAAATTTTTTGGAGGAAATTGCATCGAATTTCTACTCAAATGAAATCTATTTGTTGCAAATAATCACAACGCTTCAAAAGCTGATATACACCGATAAATCTAGTCTAGTCCACCAATAGCCTGGACGAATTAATTAATAAGGCTATAAAGGTACCGGTACTGTCACAAAAATTGCAACAAAAACAACTATCCTGTTCAAACGCATTTTTGTAGCTATGTTTATGCGTTAACTTGTTCCTTCATATCTTGTATTGAAGTTTTCAAGCTCACAGTTCACCCGAAAATTAACCACAAGAATCAGATACGAGTTGCTTTCTGAACCCAGTTAATTGTACATTTGTACTTGAATGAATTTCTACTGAAAAGGCCTCGTCAACGAAATTCTGTGTTAGATTGCTCGCTGCAGACTTCCAAATAAATAGAATTCCTAAGGTGACGGTAATGCCCTGAGTTGGCAAAGAAAGTGAGCTTCGATGAAGGAGAGCCTTGAAAACGAAACAGGAAATACTCAAAGAAGATAATGTCAACCCTCAGACAATAAGTGACATGAAGCACTCTAACTTCCAGCCTATGAAGTAGTGCCTAGCAGTTCGCTACAAGACGTTATCTTATAGATGTAGAAAAGCTTCTTTAACTCTCTCACCACACGGTTTTGCTCCTGCAGAGCTCTGAACGGCGCTGGCATTTCATCGGTGAACGCGGTCGACTCAGCAAGCGCATCTTCTGCTTGCAAAAATAGAATGCAAATTATTTAGATCTGGAGAAGGTTCATCGTAGTTGGGTTCATAGTCAAAGTATTCCTTAGGAACAATTGCACAAGGTTCAATACATGCTCCTCAAGTTGCCAAGTAAACTGGCGCAACATTTTGAATAAAAATGCCTGACTGGATCTGAATAGAGGGTTGGATGAGGAATAAAAAATAGCATTTCAGGAAAAAATAGCATTTCAGGAAAAAATAGCATTTTTCATTTTTCTTATCTCACGTTCATAGCCTTACGGAATTCGAAGGGGTTAAAGGTGAATGGGTTGAAGGCAGCAGCAATGTTGGCAGCGATGTTGGGGATCCTCGGGATGAAGGCCGCGGAGTTCGCTTGGCTCTGCTTGTAGGCAGCGATGCAGGTCTCGAATGCGGCCTCTGGGCTCACGCCACCACCTCCCTCCAGCAGTTCGTACTGGGGCGCTGAGTTGGGACGAGCCGAGTACCGCACCTATGACCAACAGCAGCCTATATATACTTTCAAAGTTTAAAAAAAGTCAAACGCTCATAATTCGAGGCTTAGTCATTTTTATAAGGATACATTAACTGTCGTCAACGCTAGTCGTACCTAAAAGCAGCTGAACGAAAGTCCCGTTTAGAAGGCAAAAAGTTTATCAAAATGTGACGGTTGCTATCATTCATCTTTAATTATTATTAAAAAAAATTCGGTCACTTAAAAATTTCAAAGAACGATGCCACATTAACGATGGGAAATTATGGTCCGAAACATCATGGCAAGTGGTGCAGGAAAGCTCTGCGAATAGTTGGCGAAAACTAAGGTATGAATAGAGAATATAATAAACGTCGTTACAGGCCTGTTTGATATTATTGGCTAAGAGTTAATGCTATCACGTCCACTGACATTTGTGCTATGTTCCTCCATTCCAGTCTGCATTGCAAGCTCGGCTCACCTTAAACCGCCGGCCGTTGCTATCGGAGAAGGAACACTCGCCCTGCCTGGTGCCGTCGGGGCCGACGGACTCTGCTAGGGCGGCACCCACGGAGCTGAAGCTGCGGGCGGTGCCCACGGACCCCAGCGAGGAGCCAGACTCCAGGGTCGCTCCGTGACACAAGGTCGCCACCGCGCACAGAACTACCACACACTTCATGGCGGTTCTGGAATGCAAGTTATTGGTTAGCCATATGATGCATAACATATTATTCATCTTAGTCGAAGCTTGCGTTTGTAGCCTGGCGCAGCAAATATATAGATGTTGAAAGAAATGGAAAATCAAAATGTAGAAGGTCTCTAAAAGGGGCCTATCGAACAATGGAAGGTACAACAACTAGGGTTCGCTGGAGTGCGAACACGGCAGGCAGCTCGCAGGGGCAAACAAGAAAGCTGACCAAATGCATCGCGAACAAAAACTTCAACGTTAATGATGACCGCAAGCAAATAAATGCCAGACTGCTAATGCAAGGCCCTGGGCTTCGGTTGGACCCTATTAGCGGTAGGTTTGTATAGCCAATTCTTCAAGTTTCGACATACCTTATCAGAAACCGGTTGTCCATCGCAACTACTTTCTGTTAGTTAAACGCCATGAGAATACGTTAAATTTTTAAATGATTTTATTGCGTTGGTTGGGCCTGTATTCTCAGTGCCTAAGTTTTTCACAATGATAAGTTCTACAGTTCTCTCATGATTGATTTACGGCATCAGTATTAGTGAAGAGTTATCATGGAACGTCAATATAACTGTGGGGAAATATTCAAATGATAGAACACCCTACACAAAAAACATGAGCATGCTAATCGAGCTCCAAGTTTTATTGATAACAAAAAAATACCCATACCATATTTCCCTATTACATCCTCTAACCAAAAATTCGCAAATTACAAATAATTTTCATTAAAAATTAAAAAAAAATTAAAATAATTTTCAACAATCCTTATTCTAACAATCACATAAAATTAATTAAAGCATACTTCCTTAAAATTCCTTAACCCCTGCTGTCGCGTCACACTCGTGTTTAACTACAATGACCATGGTCGTGTTTGTGAAAGTGCAATATCCGAAGGATAATCTTACAATTTATCGGTGCTCAGTTTCTGCTCCGCGTCTCAAGCCCACTGAAGACGATGTCACTTGAATAATTCCTGAGCAACAGCGCCGGTTGTGAACTACGCGCACGTAGTCCCTACGCGCAACTAGTCCCTACGAGACTGCCTTAGTTCCATGCATCTTCCTTACACAGAGCTACTGACTTAGTATCCTCAGTATCCTTATATTTAGTATATGAATAACACAACAAATACCGTACGTAATAATTGTGGCATTGGAATACCACGTTCTAATTTGAAATTTCTAAACTTCAACTACAAACCATGATCATATTAGGGGCAAGCCGCTCGTAGCCGATCATTTCAAAGTTAATGGCCAGAATTGAGATTTTCGTGGGTAGCTTAACCTCATTCATTATTCATTTATTAAATATAAGTCTCATATAAGCAGCTCGATATTTTTATTGTGCAAATAAACTTCCTACCGTCAATAAAGTTAGCGCTCCTTAAACTGCCTATTTTATCCAGTTATCATAGTCGATGTAGTTTTGTAGCGCAAGTCTGTAGACAAACGAGAAAGTAACAAATATTCAGGTAAAAACTCGTATAGTAAATAATAATAAATAAAAATTTTATGATCCTTCGGACGCAAGCAGATGCCGCCTTAAGTATTATTGCAATGTGCGCGTTTCTTGAAGCAAGTGCTCGAAGACCAACAACGTCAACTGTCAATAAGCAAACGCTTGATGCTTCTCTCTATTCGTAATGGAGAAAATCAGGAGCCATACTTTCAAAACTCGCTAAGTGAACATAAGTACCTACTTTTGCTTTATTTTCTTTTCTATGATTGGTGGATTTTGCTTGAAAGGCAGTCCATGATTGGCGGATGAACTTACGATCTCTTAACTTGGTTTGAAAGTATAGGACAAGGTGTCGTGGCTGCGGAGTTCAATGAGGAGAGGCGACTTTGCATTTGAGGTTTTTTTTTCACAGCTCATGAGGCCCACAGCTGCCGTAACTTTCGGTTTACGTGCAATCAAGTTTCATGGTCAGGACAGGTGTGCGGTGACGATGACGTGTTGTATTGTACATTACGCGTTGTGTGACAGTTATGATGGTGTGTTAGGATGTGACATGTGCGGCATGAAATCACTTGTACTATGTTATCGTGTTGTTATATTTGATTTGTGTTCCAATATGACTCGATTTGGTTTGGTGTGAGATTTAATGCAACAAATTTTGAGATAAGATATATGCCGCGTAATATGACTTGAATTGTTCAACCTATATCATCAGTAAATCGATCAGACGGATTCATGGTACTCTTTAAACATAGCTTTAGTACATTGAGAAAGAAAGTAATTTAGGAAGACTCAATGATGTAATCAAATCCGCTCATTGGAAACGATGATTTACATGGTCACTTGAGATCCGCGATGATCTCAAGCATTGAGTCTCCTAAGTTGGAAACTGAATTTAATTATTTCCTCAGGCGCAGCACAAGCTTTACACAACAGGACGCACGCAGCCGCTCTAGATAAGGCAGCGCAGGGCTGCCATGCGTCACAATACACATAGAATAAAAGTGTCGGCACTGAAGAAATAGGCCCATGGCCTGTTGACGATTCTTGTGCTTTTCGTGACTTGATTCACAAGGGATCCGGCCTTTGGCCTTTGGAACTCATCACATGCCCGACCTCAGCGTCCCGAAATGCTGTCTCGATGTCAACCGGGACAATGAGATGAGACGAAACTGGTCAAAAAAATAATGATACTAATAATTGTGTTCGGGAATGAAAAAATTGTGTACCTGATATGATCAAACGCTACGAGATATCCATTACGATTCTAGAAAAAAAACGAGATATTCCGAACATATTCGAGAGAATACGAATATTAACACGAGAATACGAACGAGATATTAACATCAAAAATATACACCTATAATTATTAACGTGCAATTGGGAAGATTGAACAACATTTGCCTGCCAACACAACTCGGAAATTATTATAGTTAGCAGAAATGTCAAAATTTATAAGAACTCGCTAAATAAATTCAATTTTTATGAATTAACAATTAAGCTGCTACACCAGTTCTTACTAAAGTGTTGCCACATCATCATACATCTCACTGATTTTTTCCTTACTTCTTAGCGAGTGTTACATCCGGCCCTGCTGGAGTGTATTTATTTAAAGTGAAATTTTCAATCAATCAGAAAGAACGCGGAAAGCAAAGGAATATATGAAAAATTAAAGAACTAACCAAGGAGCCCTTCAAAAAAGGTGTGTAAAAACTCATTCAAGTCTCGCCTATAGAATGAACTGACGCTAAATGCTATGTTATGATCTATCGATAAAAATAGGGAAGTTCCAACTTTGTCTGGAACGTCTTGTCTCTGTATCGTCCCAGATTTCCACTGAAATCTGCGTTAATCTCTGAAATTGTTTTTATATCGCTAATAGAAACAAACATTTGGCTTACTTAACGCATCTCTAACAAAAATATGAGACAGAGGTTTATACAAGACACCTCATTCTTAAAAGCATCTACATGCAAACTAATCATACGAACAGATACGCCAAAACAGACGCACACTTTAACAAACTAAAACGAACTATACATAAAAAACATTAGATGCATACATCTCGTGGATCGAAGCTCTTTCGAATGGTGTGAGAGTAAAACCACATCAAAATTTATAACACTGAATTATCGGCGACTAAGTGTCAGCTATCTGACCACCGATGTGACTGCTTCTATTTTATGCAACAGGAAGAGCTCTAAAGAACGTCGTCGCAGCAACGTTGGCCTTCCCAACGTCTTCATCTAGGGAAAGCTTGCATGGATGCATTCAGCGCATATGATTGAATGGTAAGCATTTGTATTCAGCGTAGTCAATGTAATCACGGTGCTGGAGGAGCAACTGAGGTGCTGGTGGTGCAACTGAGGTGCTGGTGGTGCAACTGAGGTGCTGGTGGTGCAACTGAGGTGCTGGTGGTGCAACTGAGGTGCTGGTGGTGCAACTGAGGTGTTGGATTAAATCCAAAGAGACCAAGCCGATGTATGCGCAGATCTTAAATTTCTCATTACCCTTCTTTTTTCCAGGTCTTGAAAACCTGCAAAGTTACCAAGTTTCTGCAGGCTTGAGGAGATGACACTCATGACGGTATGCAGACGGGAGGCGAGGCAAGAGGCCGGATTGCTGAAGATAGTTGGTTGTTCAGCTGCCGGGCCATGCCACAACGCGTTCCAGGCGTTTCGATAAAATCGACAGGTTGGAGATAGGTCGATATGATTTGGGAACAGAAACGACAAGGTCTTTTTTCAATAGAGGCGTAATGTAAACTGATTTGAACTTCTTCGGAACAAATACTGTCAGTGAAACAATGGTTGAAAAATTCTACCAGAAAAGGTGCTAGGGTTACGGCATTCCTTACAAGTAGCGACGTCGGCAGCGGATCGCTGACACACTGCTTGTCTTAGGCAGCGCGCGCACTGCAGCGATGACATAGTCAGCTGTGATGCAAGTGAAATCTTGGAGCGCGCAGTCGAACGGGCACGGCGCAAATGTTGCCCGGCCGACGACGCTCGAACAGAAGAAATTTTGTTTAAAAAAAACTCATAGAATTCCTTCATGCTTCCGAAGCATCTGTATGACCCCGTCCCATAAGTTCATTCAGCGAACGCCACAGCGTTCGAAGGGTCGCTGCGTTTCGCACCGATTCAATGATCGAAGGTCGACATAATTGCGCCGCGCATCTCGCCAATATAACATACAGAAAATGTACAATAATTGTATGGGGTTCTGACTTTATTTACGATTGTACTGAGATACAATCAACATAGGTCAATAGGCCAATCAACAGGAAACTGATCGCATACCGTACATGAAGAATATTAAATACAAGTTATTGATATAAAGATAGTGTGTACAGTTGGATCCTGTACACAGTTATCCTCTCAAAATATAGTTGAATATTTTTCTCAAGAGATAACGTCGATTAGGTATGCTTACACTGACTTGGATACGTTTCGGTAGCTTGCGTATCAGCTTTGAAGCCTTGCCCCAGTATTGAAAGCAGATCAGAAGTAAGTGATGATTAACGTAAAGCCCGTCGTTGCCACATAAATAAAATGGTGCGGAAGATTCCTTGATTTACTCCACGAACTTTTCAACAGATTCGGAAATCAGGGGGGCAATCAAAACGGGTGTCAGCAATGTAGACATAGGGTTATTCATCGTAGACGACTACGAAGGCTTAATCTACGTTCATCTAACAACGGAAAAGCAACACAAAACATCGAGATATTCCGCTAACCATATAAAAGCAAAGGAAACGCGAAGTAAGCTTTAGGCTTATATTCATCACAAGAGTTTTCGATTAAGATATGGAAAGTTTACTTGACGTCACCTTTGCTTTAAAAAAAACGTCGTGAACCTGTAATATAAGCAGATTAATGCTAGAAGTACTTCCAATTAAAATATTTCGTTATAAATCAGAAATTGCGATGTATCGCAACGCAATCAAACTCTCAAACTCACAGCAACACGTTCACGCTTGGTCATGGAGTTTGGCCCATGGTTGAACTATATAAGGTTGACCCACGAAGATTTCAGTCATTCAGTTTTTCTTGTTACGTCACGTAATCGAGAAACGTAAACAATCCCGTCATTCTCATGACGTATAGGTTGACAGGTTTGATTGCATTTCGGTAGTACCTAATTGGTTAATGCCCGTGACGTCGCTTAGATCAGTGACGTCACAGGCGAAAAACAGACTACATCCGCCAAAAATGAGCTTCTCATGGGTCAACCTTATACTAGTTCAACCATGTTTTTGTTCAACCATGTTTTGGACAGTCGAAAATAAGAATGGAAAGCCATGCGGACACACGGGCACACCACCAGTCTCTGGTACGAAGATGTGACATGCTCGGGCTGGCCGTATGGCCCGTATCGATCTCGCCGCTTCTCGGTCCGTGGTGAGAACAACAGCTGATTTATTTCTAAGCCGTACGGTGCCATGCATCAAGTAATACTAACCTTGAATTTCATAAATAATTTTTAACATTTTTTTATGATTATCGTTTCATGTGATAACGATTAATCATTTGAACATGTCAAAAGTTTAATTCAAACAGCAAACAAAATTTCCTAGCAGCAGAAGAAGCGGCCGGTAATGCCATAATTATTTGAGATTAACGTTTAAAATAAATTGAGATACTAATTTCCGTCAGATCACGTGAACAGTGAATTGCATGCAACTTGAAAGATGTCAACGGTAAAACATGCACTGTTTAAATACAATATTTTTTGTTCTTCTGTAAAATTCGGCTGCTCTTCTTCAACTGTTGCGCTACGTTACACTGCGCATTGTCCTACCCAGAACCCAGCGAAATGAGCGAATGGCGCCACGTTTGGACACTCGCGGAATCCAGGTTCCTTCACAATTCTTAGGGTGTATCCCTGGCAATAGTAAATCAATTCAGTATCAGTGAACTTACCTTCTGAGGAAGAGACGAGGTATTTTAGCTATCACTTTTTCAGGAACCAGACGTCTCCACACCACACACTAAGACTGACAGCAGCGTACTGACTGACATGCATGCAGATTGCAGAGTGGAGACTGCAGCACGCCACTGGCCACACACTTGGACTCCATGAGCTATGCGTCATGGAGATCTCCACCGTAGTTCTTCCCGACTCATCAGTGTTTTATGAAACTGAAACGACAAATTGCCTCTTGCTATCGCTGAAACTAAATGAGTAATCTCTGACATGCATAATGGCTTCGACTCTCAGAGGGCTAACAGTTGGCTTTGAAATTAGCGCTCTGCTTGAATGTTGAACAATATGCCCAAAACGCACGGAGCATAGCATACAAATTGTAGGAGCCGCACAGTCTTTGTCGGCCAAGGTCGTTTTTTTCTCTTGCTTGACAAAATCAAACAACAACAACAAATGACTCACTTGTTTGTATGCAAAAGATGTCAGAAACCCGCCCATAATTTCCCAACTTTTGCATGTCAATTTGCCTTATTTATATTAGCCGCTTAATGTTTCAGAATTGCTGTACCTCATTTCTGATTTCGTAAAATCAGATTTTAAAATGATTTTTTCCAACACTAATCTTGATTACTCTTATGAATATATTTGCCAAAATTTTTATGTGTATGCTTAAAGCCTGGAACGCTAAAATTTATGAAGGCTGCTCTAGCGCTAAGGGTACTAGTCGTATCAGGATATTGCTAGAAAAATTTTATTTTTAGCGAAGGAACAATCCTGCGTTATTGAGAACGGAGACGTGAGTCATATATAAATTTAAAATAGGATTTTTACTGAGTTAAATGCCAATTATATTTAAAAATAGAGGTTACCTTAAATTTCAAAATTAAGCATTATTGGTTTCCGTGCTATTTGTGAGTAAGAACGGGTCGTTATTAATTGCAGTATATTAGTTTACAATTTAGTAGCTGAATTAGGTATGATGCGGTTTGGAAAGTCAGGATTCGTGCAACGGGAATCCCAAATTGCAAGACTGTCTTTGCCTGGTTAGGTTAGGTTTCATTATTGGTTTCCGAGGAAATGTGATTATGAACGGGTCGTTATTAATTGCAGTATTTTAGTTTACAATTTATTAGCTGAATTAGGTATGATGCGGCTTGGAAATACAGGATTCGGGCAGCGGGAATCCCAAATTGCAAGACTGTCTTTGCTTGGCAATGCCGGGCTACCCTCCTAATATATGATATGTTGTTCTCAGTGCTTGTGGCCTGACGCCACAAATACAGTACGTAGGGGTTGTTTAGCGGTGCCTGAAAATTAATATAAAGATATTGCCAAAATTCTTATTAGAATTTTGGTATGGCATTGCATGCGTATGATAAACGTATTGGATAAAAATTCAAAATTTGGTTTACAAATTGATAGAGATAAATTTAATTCAAAATACGCAAATGTTTTTTTTTTCATTCGTACAAACAAGAGCCAAATGGGAGTTTCATGTGAATACATGTTTAAAGAGGACTCCTCAATTAACTTGCATTAATTTTATTCGTATTAACGGGATTCGAAATGACAGGTTTCTTAAATTTCGGAGATTTTAGATTAATACAGGCAACGCCGGGCTAACCTGCCGACATAACGTCCTTGTGAAAGTTTCTTGATGTAGTCTGAAGCCTGGCGCTGTTGGTACATAAGGGTCTGGAGCGCGTATCCATTCTATCTGTCCTGTCAGCATAACCTGGAAATGGAATTGTATTTTCCAGGCGATGAAAAAAAATCAGCCCCAACGAGAAGCTCCAATGGACAAGTGAACAAGCACTATAATTTACAGCACACGACTCTGACTGCAGGTAGTTCGTCTTTAAAGACTAAAAATGTTAAAAATTCTTATATTTGATGACGCTTTGATATAAGCAGACGATGAGTTTCGAGGCTTCAGTTCCACGTAATTTTTTCAAAGATAATTCGTCGCATGGTAACGCACTGCTTTTCTGATAGTGCTACCCACAAGAGCAGAGCGCTGGCAATTTATAATCAATGGCATCAGTGGCTGATTACTTGATTACTTGATGCATTTGTTCATGTAATAAGCCCAGTTAAATTGCTTAACTCTTCAATGTGTCGATGAATAGAGAACCCGTAACCATGGAACATACTAGACTGACACAGATTCAAAGTAAGCGTAACTTTGTCATTCAACCTTCAATAGAGATAATTTTAACCTTCTTAAAATAGCCAGTTATTTCCGCCACGACGGGCGGGATTTGTCCTTCAGGATCGGCTGAGGACGCCAACGCGTGGTTCTGGCGAGCTATACCTAATGAGAGAGCTCTTCTTCTTCCCGCCGCCCTCCTTGAATAAGAGCGTTATTCCCGCCCCCCTCCTTGAATAAGAGCGTTCTTCCCGCTACCCCTCCTTGAAAAAGAGCGAGTTATTCCCGCCGCCCCTTCTTGAATAAGAGCGTTCTTTCCGCCGCCCCTCCTTGAATAAGAACGTTCTTCCCGCCACCCTTCCTTCAATAAGAGCGTTATTCCCGCCGCCCCTCCTTGAATAAGAGCGAGTTATTCCCGCCGCCCCTCCTTGAATAAAGAGTGCGTTCTCTTACCGTCCCTCGTTAATAAAGAGTGCAGTTGTATTGACGCATTTTATATGAATTAAAGCACATTTACTGCTGCGTCCTACGATAAATGAGAGCAGGTTTTCTACGTCTCCCCCCACAAAAAAGAGCAAATTTTTTATGAAGACTACTTAAACAAACGTCTCTAGACAACGGACGTCCCTAGATGAGTTCGAACAATTTTTCTATTATATCCGTCCTTACACTAGAGCATGTTTCTATGGCCATATACTATCAACTCAAACAACCTAATCCGCTTCACTCAATCCGTCAATGTTCGTTCCAGCAAAGCTCGGATCATAAAATGAATGGCAGCAAAAACCGCTTGCAACCCAGCAAGCTCCTGTAGATCCGAGCAATTAGTCAGTCATGTGGTCAATGCCACAACCTATCAGAAGCCAATGCCATAGCCTATCAGAAGCCAATGCCATGGCCTATCAGAAGCCAATGCCACAGCCTATCAGAAGCCAATGCCATAGCCTATCAGAAGCCAATGTCACAGCCTATCAGAAGCCAATGCCGTAGCCTATCAAAAGCCAATGTCATGGCCTGTAAGAAGCCAATGCCACAGCTTATCAGAAGCCAGTGCCACAGCCCATCAGAAGCCAATGCCATAGCCAATCAGAAGCCAATGCCACAGTCTATCAGAAGCCAATGACATAGCCTATCAGAAGCCAATGCCATAACCTATCAGATGGCCAATACGATATCCAATCATGTTTCCAATGTAAAAGCTAATCAGACGGCCAATGCAATAGCCACTCAATGCAGTGAGTTGCAGGAGTGGACGCTATGTCACCGTCTAGATTGGAACGCTGCTACGCGCTTCCTGAGGACGGCGATCCTTCGAATTCTAGGAATCACCGCAGCCTTTATAGCTGACCTTGAGGGTCTCTTAGCTGACCTTGAGAGTCCCTAACAGACTGTATTGAATGTGACCTTCAATGTAATAATGGCAGAGATTGTTTTCGTACCTCATGCCAATCACGGTTCGTTCCGTAAGGCGCGTTCACATTTTCATTCCGGTCACGAGCCGTTCTCACTTCAGTTCATGTCGTATCACTTATGCCATGCAGTCACGCAGCGTTTCCAACTGATGCATTTGCATGGTACGTTGAGACGGTGTCTGGCATGTATAATTAAAATCTAACAATCTGATATACTCGGTAGAAAAATAGTTGGCAACGCTGCAATCACGTCTCGGTGAAAATATATATTGCCTTGATCGTGGCTGGACCACGCCGTGCAAGGCAGATGCCTTGCACGACTGATATGAATATGTTTCTATGGAAATGCATTCATGAATATTGGGCTGGACCATGACTGGCATATGCCTGACACGTGCCCGGCAGTATGGTGAGAACAAAGCCTAAAGCGCTTCATGAGAGTATATTCATCGACTGTTGATTTTTCTTGCGTTAACTGAGAATCTCTCATAAGTTTCTTGGTTAAAATAAAAACAAGTCTGAATTTTCATTACCTGTGTGAGCCGATTACGACGACGCATGCGCAGAAGATGGTTCCCTTCCTCCTCGGAAGCCGTATGAACTGTATAATATACCTTTTTGGAACAATACGATAATTTTGTTGATTATTCATTTACGTACAGACCTCAAAACGCTGGTTTCCATGTATTCGCGATCTTCCAACCTATGAGATGAATTTGCTCTTCCCTTGTTACATATTTTAAAGAAACAATGATCACAAGCCCAAAATTACGGTGTCAGGCTCAAAGCTCCGCAATTAACTGCGGTAAACAGAAGACGTCAGTACAATCAACGTCACCTCTCTTGTCCACTCAATTGAATGCTCTGGCACACTAAGTCAAGTACGTGGAATAGTCAATAATTCGAGGAGTGCTCAGTCTTTGCAGTAGAATCGATCATGTCCCTAATGGAGCATATTTACTAATTCGAGGCGCACTCAATAGTTCAATTTACAATCACTAATTCGTGGCACAGTAAAGAGTTAGTAGTACATGCACTAGATCTTGGCAAATCCTGGCAAGCACTAGTAGGAGGCGCATTCATAAGTAGTCATACAGCAAGAATTTGGTCGAAATATATTTTCATAATCAATTTCAATTTTATTCGCAAGTATTTGCTGAATGCTCTTGTTATCGATGTCCACGTACACGTAGCCTAAGAGAACGTACACGTAGAGTAAGAGAATATAAATGTAAGTACATCTGTGTTGTCGTAGCGCATTAGTTAACATCTTTGGTTACATACATCAAATATAGATATCATTTCAACTAAACTAAATGATCCGTCATACAAAACAATATTTTTAATTTCGAATAAAAAATCTCGTCTTCACTACTTGGTATTGAATGTCTCACGAATGCACAACCACGTTACTCGATATTTTCCACCGCTACATTTACTATTCTCTACGACACTTTAAAATAGGAAATAATGAAACAACCCATAAAAGTTAGCGACGTTTAATAGAAAATTTCAAAATATCGTACGTCTCAAGATCTAGAATACTAGGCACGAGGAATTGCTGCAGTCACGTGGAATGGCCTTGACTTAAATTGCAGGAACTGCGCTTACAGCTTCGGCTGATCGTTTTACAATATATATGAATGACTAAATAATTTTCGTCCAATGCTGCGCAGAAATAAATATCACCTTATATACTAAAATAAATTCAATTCCATGACACAAAACAGGAGAAATATTTCAATGGAGAAATGCAGTGCCGATGTTGAAAACATATTTGCGAACTGAAGCCTGTCTTGTTGAACTCAAATACGAAGGACATACGGTCGTGCGATAATGCATCAGTCACGTTCACGGACATCTCTATAGCATCAGTCGCGTTCACGGACATCACTATATCATCAGTCGCGTTCACGGACATCACTATATCATCAGTCGCGTTCACGGACATCTCTATAGCATCAGTCGCGTTCACGGATATCTCTATAGCATCAGTCGCGTTCACGGACATCTCTATAGCATCAGTCGCGTTCACGGACATCTCTATAGCATCAGTCGCGTTCACGGACATCACTATAGCATCAGCGGTCTCTCAGAAGCGATGAAATGATTCGAGAGTGAAGCAAATATCGTCTTCGTTGGCATGGCGATAGACGTAAAAAATAGAATTTGTTACAATGAAAGATTTCTCATAATACTCAAAAATTGGCAATAAAAGTAGCAAAAACTGGAAATGGCAACACGAGAAAGAAATGCTTGGTAATGGAAGACAAGTTTCGTGTGCTGGTGTAAACACTTGGCTTAAAAAGTGCAGCAGAGTTTAACTTGTTAGTCTATTGCACTGGTGCCAATGATCATAAGAGTGTAACTTGTTAGTCTATTGCACTGGTGCCAATGATCATAAGAGTGTAACTTGTTAGTCTATTGCACTGGTGCCAATGATCATAAGAGTTTAACTTGTCAGTGTATCGCACTGGTGCCAATGATCACAAGAGTGTAACTTGTCAGTGTATCGCACTGGTGCCAATGATCACAAGAGTGTAACTTGTCAGTGTATCGCACTGGTGCCAATGATCACAAGAGTGTAACTTGTCAGTGTATCGCACTGGTGCCAATGATCACAAGAGTGTAACTTGTCAGTGTATCGCACTGGTGCCAATGATCACAAGAGTGTAACTTGTCAGTGTATCGCACTGGTGCCAATGATCACAAGAGTGTAACTTGTCAGTGTATCGCACTGGTGCCAATGATCACAAGAGTGTAACTTGTCAGTGTATCGCACTGGTGCCAATGATCACAAGAGTGTAACTTGTCAGTGTATCGCACTGGTGCCAATGATCACTAGAGTGTAACTTGTCAGTGTATCGCACTGGTGCCAATGATCACAAGAGTGTAACTTGTCAGTGTATCGCACTGGTGCCAATGATCACTAGAGTGTAACTTGTCAGTGTATCGCACTGGTGCCAATGATCATAAGAGTGTAACTTGTTAGTGTATCGCACTGGTGCCAATGATCACTAGAGTGTAACTTGTTAGTGTATCGCACTGGTGCCAATGATCACAAAGAGAGAGAAAGAGGTTTAGCAGCTCGAGCAACCGATCACCGGTCGATTGTTTCCGGTACCTTAACCCGTCCACTTTCCATCACAATCTCATTCAATACACAAGGAACCTTAATGGCATTGTTTTTGAAGGAAACAAGGGCAAGGGTAATGATTACGGTGGACTACAGGCAATTGAAGATAATAGGTGAAAGAATCGAACGTTAATTTGCAAAATAAAGAAATTAAGAAAATAATCCGCTACATTTCAGAAACATCGCTGAGGAAAAACTGGGACGGCAGTTTGAACACAAATAAAACGAACCCACCTATCATTTTGAAGCGCACCGATAACTTTGCGTACAGTTCTGTCATAATTAAGAGATAACTAACGCTCCAGCGAGTCGTGCTTTGATTTTACGTTAATTGAGGTAAGAATACAAGCTAAAAAGTGTCATACTCTTTCGGACAACCACACGTCTAGTGTATTATTAGTTATATCCAAAACACATTAGTGAGCCAAATATGAGTTTTTATTCCCTATAGAAGCACTGGTAAGGACAGGATACACATTTCCATCATACCTACACATTTTTACATTAGAAAAATGTTCACAAAAGTGTTCAATTTTCTGCCGTATATCCTCTTTATGATTATTTAAAAATTAGATTGTTTTTTCCCGAGTTCTTCGCCTTCTCCAAAGTATGATCAGAACTGTTATTAGCTTTCAGAGAGAACTAGTTTATCTATCGTTTCTATCCTCTGAAAAGTCCCGGTCTTCGAGACAATGTGGTCCCATTTTTATCACCTTTACTGCGGTTACAGTTCATCATACGATCTTAAACGTACAATTGGCAGACTGCGTTATTAAGTAATCAAAGGGGGGGCTGCCTTGGACGAGTCTCCAGAGCTCCCTCAGCTCCAAAAAGAAGAAGAAGAAGTAATCAAAGGTAAAAAATACATAGAAAAATAGTACAAAAGTGGAATTGATAAGCTCGATGTTGGAATGTGATCGCTAAAATAAAGCAGGCAGGTTGCCATAAGTTACCTCGAATCAATTTAAATAGAACAAAAACACAAATACGAAAATTGGTCATACTTAAAAAAATATTAGATGGGAAGTTCAATGCTTGGCAATATACTGATAAAACAATTAGGGAACGATTGATTACTATACTATTAGATTTGAATACGAACAATTTTAAGAGGTAACGCTGAGAGGATGTGGATTTGAAAGCGGAAGTAGATCCGTGGTAGCAGAGGGAAGGAGCAACGGCGTAGCTGAGATGCAGATCAGCTAGACTGCAGGTCACAGCTTCTGCCTGCCAGGCAAATAAGCTTGTAACATCGTTGTATGATGTTGATTTAACCAAACCGCGTTTAATTCAGCTTTGATTCAACTTCAGATGTCTAGCAGGCTCGTCTTTAGAATGTTACTGAGCAGTTTCGATTGCTCAGCTCAACATCGCTCAATGATCCACGTCACCATCGCATTCATTTCTCAAGGCTGCGTTTGTGTTTCGTTCAAAATCGTTCCAGGAGCCAAACTGAGAAAGGAAAATTAATACAAATTTTATGTTTTTGACAGGAGCCGAATTTCAAGGGAGTCACACTGACTCCCCTGAGATGAGGCAGAGAGGAAGCACGTGGAGGGTGAGAAGTGTAGGCTGGGAGGAGCAGGAGGCTGAGAAGTGTAGGCTGGGAGGAGCAGGAGGCTGAGAAGTGTAGGCTGGGAGGAGCAGGAGGCTGAGAAGTGTAGGCTGGGAGGAGCAGGAGGCTGGATGTGAGAACAGCTTGTGTGCTGACGGAGGTTGTGGTTTAGTCGCTGTTGCCTGCAGGTGAGGTAGAAAACATTAGTTATATACACGACTTGGGATTAGCATATGACAAACACGCATGACTTGCTCCTAGCATACAACAAACACGCGTACTTGGCTTTTGCATACGGCAAACACGCATATGATTTGCTTCTTGCATACAACAAACATGCATATGATTTGCTTCTTGCATACGACAAACATGCATATGATTTGCTCCTTGCATACGACAAACATGCTTATGACTCCTCCCTTGCATACGACCAATATGCATACAAATTGTACTTTGTAAATGACAAACAGACATACAACTTTCTCTTTACATACAACAAAAACGACATCAGAGTGATCAGACTTCATTAAGTACCACAACAAACATGACGTTTGACTTTCCATTTTGGGCAAATTAAAAAGAATGTGATTAAGAATTACCTCAGCAGCTGAAACAATAGCAAAGTTTAGCACTACGCAGTTAAGTTTACGAAAAGCTACACGTAAACTGCCTGCCAATGGTGCAGATATGAAACACAGAATTCTTCGAAACAGGCCATAAACTCGATGCATTTGTGTTAATGTGGCACGATTTAATATGGAAAGCTAACATATTATCTTTCATACCATTTAATATGGTAAGATAACATCTTATCATTCATACCATTTGATATGGTAAGATAACATCTTATCATTCATACCATTTAATATGGTAAGATAACATCTTATCATTCCCACCATTTAAACGAAGTTGAAGGAACCTCGCCCAATGGCAAGCGTAGCACATGTGTAGTTAGTAGCCCACTCTGAATGAGTGCTATGCAGGCTTTAATGGAAGACTTCTCATTTTATAGCATTTATGAGTGCTAGATGTGACTGTGCAGACTTTAATGGAGTGTTAAATGTGACTGTGCAGACTTTAATGGAAGACTTCTCATTTTATAGCATTTATGAGTGCTAGATGTGACTGTGCAGACTTTAATGGAGTGTTAAATGTGACTGTGCAGACTTTGATGGAAGACTTCTCATGTTATAGCATTTATGAGTGCTAGATGTGGCTGTACAGACTTTAATTGGAAGACTTCTCATCATCATTTTATAGCATTTATCAAGATAAGTGTCATTAAATTTAGTGAAATTGCTGGTCATAGATTACTTATAATATTCATTTAATCATGTCCATTTCAATTGACGATAACAAAAGTTATTTATTCACAGCAAGTCATTCCTCAATAATTCCAGTCGTTGAATAAAGAGATGGCATGATTAGAGAAATGTTTATAAAGTTTATCATGCATGAATCGAACCAAGGCCATCATTAACTGAGTGTCATGAATGCAAGGAGCTGCCATACGGACTTGTGGTATGATGTCAAAGTGAGGATGGAGTCTTGAACACAACACGAGATGGTGGCCATGACGAGAGTTCAAATAGAACAAGTTAGCAAGAAACATTAGGGAGAAACGTTAGCAAGGAACGTTTGGAATAAACGTTAACAAGAAAAGTTAGCAAGAAACGTTAGCAAGGAACGTTAGGAAGAAACGTTAGCAAGGAACGTTAGCAAGGAACGTTAGCAAGGAACGTTAGCAAGAAACGTTAGCAAGAAACTCCCAGGCGTTGCAAAGAAACGCTAGGCGGCGGAGATTGGCTACCATGGCAGCTTCCTTGACTTCCCACTCCCTGCTGTCGTCAAGCTTGCTTCTTTGACCCTGTAAAGCAGTAAGCAGTAAGCGTGAGTGTTAATTAACCTAAACATCCTAGAGCCCTGTGAGACAGTAAGCAGTGAGCGTGAAGTTAATTAACCTAAACATCCTAGAGCCCTGTAAAGCAGTAAGCAGTAAGCGTGAGAGTCAATTAACCTAAACATCCTAGAGCCCTGTGAGGCAGTAAGCAGTGAGCGTGAAGTTAATTAACCTAAACATCCTAGAGCCCTGTAATGCAGTAAGGCAGTAAGCGTGAGTGTTAATTAACCTAAACATCCTAGAGCCCTGTAAAGCATTAAGCAGTAAGCGTGAGTGTTAATTACCCTAAACATATACAGTCCTGCTAGGTGGTAATCAGCAAGCAAAAGTATAATTCTTCAATAAATTGCAGTTGACCCTCCAATGGATTAGCTGCACGTGATGATTATCACTAGAATGAGATATTAAATATTTGTACAATAAACTGTACATTCTCCAGTAGGCGAGATCCTTGCGCGAGAAAGGCAATCAACTATCAAAAGCAACCAACCCATATAAATAGTAAGGAGATAAAGCATGGTTGGAAGAACACTGATGGAATGTTGTTTTGTCTTGAATAGCCGTCATAAATTCGCTGATAGATTTAGGAGCTTTTAAGTATTGTTTGATGGTACGGTTCCTGATCGCAAAATGTTTGAGCTGCCGGCGCTGAGCGAGAGCCCAATACTTCATCAGCAGCTGATGATGCAACTCTAGGGCAGGGCGAGGCTACCTTATCTTGACACGAGAAATATTTTCTCTTAGATGCTCGAGTTCTTTCGTGTGTATTTAGAGAATACACAAGTTGGTTAGTCAGCACACCAACTGCCGGAAAGAATGAAGGCAACTGCAAGACATTCAATTGAAAAGATTTTGCTCGCTCGCCCAGCTCTTCTGTACTTTAAGTTTATTTCTGACATGAAAGGCACAAAAAAGGTAAAAAAATAAGCTTATATCCTCACATGAGTGTTCGCAACAAAGCCTTATTATTAAGGCGAAGCGTTGGAAGAAAAGTTAGAAGTCGTTACAAACAAGAAGCGTTCACCAACACCAAGACGAGGGGCCAAAGCAAAGAAGCCCAGTGAGAAGTAAACATTAAACGTTAGGATGATGAAAAATTCAGATGAAAATGAAGTTGTGATCAAATGCGGACTGCAGCACGATCTTAATGCGAAAAGAGTCCGCGGTGACTCAATAGCATTAGTACCGGCATTGGTATTGAATAAGTAGTGGCGTTTAACCAGCATCGAATAGCAGTAGTGGCATTATAGTAGTATAGAATAAGAGAAATGGCAGTACAGAAGAGTTGAAGTATGAGTATATTTACATATAGGAGCATAGGAAGGAGCTTCACCATCAGGCATGATCTGGCGGGTAGCGCCGTATGGAGTCATGCCGGCCTGAGAGGCGCCCTTGTTGCTGCCGCTCTGCAGGCCGATGATCTTGTGGCTGTCTTCGCTGATGTGCTTCTGAGCCTCTGCAATGCGGGCAATACGTTACACACAGCAATGTTACGTCCCTTTGCCAGCTTATTGAATAAAATTATAACACATCAACAATAATACATGAAATTTAATTTTGATTTATGTAGGAGATATTATCAATCGAGACAGGTTCGTGGTCCACGCCAGCGCTGTCTGCTCAGACTAAAGACTGTACCCACCTGCCAGGATGATCTGTACCCACCTGCTTATTGTAGGAAACATTGCAACACATTTGTGGCAAGGAATGTAGTGAATAAGCCATCAGCACTGAACATGAATGAGTATTGTAGAAAACATTGCAATACATTTGTGGCAAGGAAATAAGACATCAGCAACTTGTTCCCTAAAGGAAGAATTTTACTGGGATAAAGTACTTAGAAACTGTCTATAATATATTTCAGCTATTAATATGAAAATCGCACTACTGAGTATCCCGAGAAACTACTAAACTCAGTACACTGCAGAAAAGCCCAATAAAAAAAACTATACAAATCCTAACTAAATACACTGTACAGGCAATAAACGAAGTGCAAAATGACGTACTACAAGGCAGAGATGCAACTTATTGCACTAATTTCTAAATTGTGAGCACTGTACAGAATGTAAACTAAGTGCACTGCAAAAATCCTAAACCTAAAGTACACTGTGAAAACCTGAACAGTACAGAAGTAGACTGTACTTCTAACCTGAACAGTACAGATGAAGTTAGATTTTTAGTACACTGTACAGAATCCAAGCTCAGTACACCGCCAACGCGCTAAACTAAGTGCGCTGTAAATATCAACACCAGGGGCCATACTTTCAAAACTCGCTAAGTGAACGTAAGTACTTACGATAATTTTTCTTGTCTATGATTGGTGGATTTTGCTTGAAAGGCCGTCAGTGATTGGCTGATGAACTTACGATCTCTTAACTTTTTTTGGAATTATAGGCCCAGGCTCACTGTGAACGCAAAGCAGCCCTGATACTCGAGGAGCAAGCATCGCACCCACAAGGTGTCAGGTGATTAAACTACCATGCCATCATACTAGCATGCGGTAGATACCATGCCATCATACTAGCATGTGGTAGATACCATGCCATCATACTAGCATGTAGTAGATACCATGCCATCATACTAGCATGTAGTAGATACCATGCCATCATACTAGCATGTGGTAGATACCAAGCCATCATACTAGCATGTGGTAGATACCATGCCATCATACTAGCATGTGGTAGATACCAAGCCATCATACTAGCATGTGGTAGATACCATGCCATCATACTAGCATGTGGTAGATACCATGCCATCATACTAGCATGTGGTAGACGAGGGGTCGATTGAAATGAACTGCGATTGAAATATTCCGAGAAATGATAATGCGGGAAGAAGAAACAGCGATATTTTTCGAGTTGCTTAGGCTATAGTTACAGCTTGTGAAGATGCCTCACCATGCCACCCAATGCGTATATGCAGTCGACAACCTGACGAAGAAAAGGAATACAACATTAAAAACAAAATACTAACATAACATTAATGCAATACTGGCAGAAATACTCGAAATTGATTTAGGATTAGGCTCCGCTAACAGTAAAATTGAGAAATAATGCTGCGGTGGAAGAAAAGTGTTACTTGTAAGACAACATTATTAGAATGAAGGCGGTGGAAATACACTGCAATCAGGAAGGTGTAGAAGTGCACAGTAATGTTGACGGTTTTAAGGGCCACCGTAATCAGGAAGATGTTGAGGTTCACAATAATGTTGACGGTTTCAAGGGCCACCGTAATCAGGAAGATGTTGAGGTTCACAATAATGTCGACGGGATTAAGGGCCACCGTAATCAGGAAGATGTTGAGCTTCACAATAATGTTGACGGGATTAAGGGCCACCGTAATCAGGAAGATGTTGAGCTTCGCAGTAATGTTGACGGTATTAAGGGCCACCGTAATCAGGAAGGTGAGAGGTTTGCATTAATGTTGACGGTATTAATGGCCACAGCAATTAGATTGTAATTAGATCTATTTCAGCGCATGAGGAAGTGACCTTTCCAGCCCTACGCAAGGCCGTCGAAAGCGCTGAGCCGTGACAGGCACGCGTCGGTGGGCACGGTCACATCTGAGGCGCCAGTGACTATGTCCACTCGGGAGGGCGTTCTAGTGGCATCGTTCATGGGGCCAAACTACCTGGCACTTAGGCAGCTTATCTTATATGTCTATGAGGGATCTGAGATTTAGACTAGTATCAACTGTACGGTCTATACTAGTAAAGCACGTGGAAGACACAAGCCTATTTGAAGCTGAGGTGCTATATCTGGAGGCTCTAGAATCATTATACATTTACTGATTTTTGTCGTATTGCATGAATCCTACGTAAACTGGACCAACGTGCGACCACACGCTGCTGTGATCCAAGAGGAACAGTTTTTTTTAGTGACGAGTTAACAGGGAAACAAAAAATATAGCCAGCCTTCGTTGAAATGGACACGTCTTGTCCTCGACGAACTGATGCGAGAGCTTCTCGTCTTCACGTGTGTAGAGTTCCTCGGATTCATCGGATAGTTCAAATAGAAATTAGGTTCCGTGTCGCCGAAACTGCTACTCACACACACACTTTCTGTCATATGTGTGCCGGCACTTCTCTTCGGTAAGAATTTGTGTACAGTGGAGATGTACAGTTGAATTCCTGTGTTCTACATACTACACTCGATTTATCATGTAATATTGTTTAATTGATCATTAATGCGTAAATATCATCAATAAGTAGGCAGTAAAGAATATAATACATAATAGTGATGGTGTATTACAACTAAATTTCATTTTGACTGAATAAAAATAAAACGAGACGACAAATAGTTAGCAGAAAAATATGTTCGCATTTAAACTTCAATTTTTCCACTCAATGCGCAGGGTGACTTTTTTCTCAAATATGTGACCGAAATTCTTAAGCAAGAAAAGTTGCTCATCCTATGTCCTCGCAATTTGTTTCTAAGTCATAAATTCTTCAGGCAATTAGCATCTAGCATTACAGCAAATTAAACCGTGAAATCGGCGTTTTTATTAACGTTGACAAGCGATCATCTAAGAAAGCTGGAGAATGTGTCATTCGTCGTTCCGGTAACTGAAAGAGACAGCCTCGCTTGTTCTTCTGAAGGTCGGACTCGCGGTGATATTGTTGGCATCATTAACGCCCGAGTCATGATCAACACATGGCCGACAAATAACGACAAGACAATGAAGAGAAAAAATGCGGAAACTGGTGTCATCTATGAAGATCTTTCCGTCTTAGCAAGAAGTTTGTGGCGATCAAGAGAAAGCGGATATAACTTTAGCATTAGTACAGACTGCTCGTAATGAAATCGGATATCACTTTAGCATTAGTTCAGACTGCTCGTAATGAAATCGGATATCACTTTAGCATTAGTTCAGACTGCTCGTAATGAAATCAACGATAATGAGCGGCATGCGCTGCTGGCAGTTACATCAGGTGCTGCTGCCTCGCACGGTCAGGGTTCCTTCCGCTGAGCGCCTCAGCGCTGCGAATGTCAAGGCCGCTCGGTGGGAGACAATTCGTTTGCAGATTGGCTGCGATATTTACGAGGATTGCAATCATCATTTCAGGAACTGAATAATTCCAGCATGTGGAGACATGCCACACACGAGGGCAACTCAGTAAACCCTGAAGTCCTGCCGGACTCTTTAGAGATGCCGAAGACTCTTTAGAGGTGCCGAAGACTCTTTAGAGGTGGCAGGTTAGGTGTGGCCACTTCTCATACAAATAAGGTAAATAGTGAGCAGCTATTTATTCTTGCTATAATGCACCCCTTTGCTGTAATTATCTTGTTTTTTTTTATTATTCCTATCAAGTAAATATACTCAATTATCGTTGGGAAGAGGGAATCTATTTCCTCTTGAAAGGCCAACTCTTGGAGCGGTAGTAAATTTTCAAAGCGAGATATTTGGGACTACGTTTTGGCACCGGCACTCAGTTCCTCCATTTAGTGACGTCATCACAACAGCTGCTACGTGCGTGACGTCATCACAACAGCTGCTACGTGCGTGACGTCATCACAACAGCTGCTACGTGCGTGACGTCATCGCAACAGCTGCTACGTGCGTGACGTCATCGTACGTCATCGCAACAGCTGCTACATGCGTGACGTCATCGCAACAGCTGCTACGTGCGTGACGTCATCGCAACAGCTGCTACATGCGTGACGTCATCACAACAGCTGTAGCAATAATCGTAAGGCGAATGCATCAGAAAGAAAGAGCAATTAGGGAACTTTTGAGGGCTTAAGTTGGGTACAAAAGTTACGGTCGCCGTAACTTCTTAGATGACGCTACGTAACACACCGTAACCGACATGTGCAAGCAGCACAGTTGACAGGTGCACGCAGCACAGTAGACATGTGCACGCAGCACAGTTGAAAGGTACACGCAGTACAGTTGACAGGTGCACGCAGCACAGTTGAAAGGTACACGCAGCACAGTTGACAGGTGCACGCAGCACAGTTGGCAGGTGCACGCAGCACAGTTGAAAGGTACACGCAGCACAATTGACAGGTGCACGCAGCACAGTTGACAGGTGCACGCAGCACAGTTGACAGGTGCACGCAGCACAGTTGACAGGTACACGCAGCACAGATTGACAGGTGTACTCATCACCCACCCCACCAGTTCTCCCCCACCAGTGGGCGCCATACAAGACAGGTGGGCGCCGCTCATTTAGGACTTGTATGACCCAGAGCCCTCGCTGCCCTCGAGGTCAGCACTCAGTCTGAGTCACCGCGCAGCGCTCAGTTCCTGGACGTCGCCAGAACGCAACAAGCGCGACGACAGCTACATCGCGTCGATGCACGCGTCTAACTCAACACTTAATATGGTAGCTTGTAGTTTTGAAAGAGAATCAAGACACGAAAACGTTATTAATTCTTATTACGAGTTATTGCGAGTGAGGAAAGTTATTACAGCGTCGTTGCAAACGTCTAACTCAACACTTATTATAGTAGCTGGTAGTTTTAAAAAGAATCAAGAAATGGAAACGTTATTAATTCTTAATATGAGTTATTGAGTGCGAGGAACGTCGTTACAGCACACAAGAAGAAGTTATTCAGAAGCACATAAGAAATGTTTGCTGATGAGCTTAGAGAAGTAAACGAGACCTGCTGGCAGCCAAGGCGAATATTACTACATAGGGTAGTGTACTGTAAGACAACATAGTCCACGGAACGCATAGTAATGCGTTTAAGTTCAATAATACATGAAATAGTTACAAATAAGCATAGTTATTAGTGCAGAAATAGATGCCCGGCCATCATAATGAACGCATCAGTCACCCCGTGACGACCAACACGTCCGCCAAGTTTTTGCTTTATTTTTTGAGCGCAGGAACAAATTAGGCGAAATGGATAGCAGGGATTTAGCTCGGGCACCACACGCGCTGTAGCTTACGGACAGATTTGGTGAACTGAGTTGGGTTAAAGACGGGGGCAAAGGCAGAGCGATGATTGCGCCCACGACGAACCAAATGCAGCCTCAATTGCCACAGAAAACAGAGATACATCGAATTAAATGCTGCCACAATTGCCACAGAAAACAGAGATACATCGAATTAAATGCTGCCACAATTGCCACAGAAAACAGAGATACGTCGAAAAAATGGTGTCACAATGGCACAAACAAGAGATACATCGAATTAAATGCTGCCACAATTGCCACAGAAAACAGAGATACATCGAATTAAATGCTGCCACAATTGCCACAGAAAACAGAGATACGTCGAAAAAATGGTGTCACAATGGCACAAACAAGAGATACGTCGAACCTAATGCTGCCACAATGGCCACAGAGGACCGAGATACGTCAAAAAATTGTAGCCATGCACAATTTCATAGAGGACAGAGATACGTCGAAAAAATGCAGCCACAATTGCAGAAAACAGAGATACGTCGAAGCAAATACAACCACAAAGGCCACAGAAAACAGTGATACGTCTAATCAAATGCCGCCACAATTGCCACAGGCAACAGAGATCCCTCGAATCAAATGCCGCCACAATTGCCACAGAAAACAGAGATAGGTACATCGAATTAAATGCAGGCACAATTGCACAGAGGACAGAGATGCGTCGAACCAAATACCGCCACGATTGCCACAGAGGACAGAGATACGTCGAACCAAATACCGCCACGATTGCCACAGAGGACAGAGATACGTCGAATGCTATGAAGTAATCATAAAAAGATGTTAGGTTAGTGTGTGCTGTGTATGTGTACATGATTGTGCACGGCTATGAAGTAATCATAAAAAGATGTTAGGTTAGTGTGTGCTGTGTATGTGTACATGATTGTGCACGGCTATGAAGTAATCGTAAAAAGATGTTAGGTTAGTGTGTGTTGTGTAAGTGTAAGATGTTAGGTTAGTGTGTGTTGTGTAGGTGTACATGATTGTGCGCTGCTATGAAGTAATCATAAAACACAAAGCACAGGTGCCCGGTGACGTGACCGCACACCTCGAGCTCCTGATGCCGTCCTTTAAATGGACCCTCATGCGCCGCCTCAACCCTACATGGCATGCCTCCACGCGCAGCAAACCTCTATTTCCTACTTATATTTCATAGAGGCTCCTTGGTAGCTTCGTAGCTAGAACGTTACGAATTGTGGTAAAGGGAAATTGTCTGGTCTGGTTTACACTAGGCGGGTATTACGTGGAGCTTCGTGAGACCCAGTTGGTTCCAGTGTTGGAATATTACGCAAAATTGTTAATTACGCACATGAACAAAAAAATATAACTCAGTACTCACTGCAGTGAGTGACAGAGAGCGCATTTTCTCGTCGCCAAAAACGTGAAGTCACGGACGGACAGACAGACAGACGGACGGGCGGACATGGCGAGCACAATAGCGCCTCTTTCCATAAATGAGAAAATGCGCTAAAAACATCCAGAGTAACTATGTTCAAGCATTACATTATTTTCGCTTGCTATAAATCTTATGTGAGACGTGCCCTCGAAGTTCGTTTGAACCAGACGCCACGATAAATGCTTCGTAGAATAATAATAATAATAATTACAAATGTACCTAAATAATAAAATAGTAAAGAGTTAATCGAGTGATACACTGACCATGTAGAGATTCTTGTTCTCGTATAGGTCGTTGACTTGGAAGAGGTCCTGACTCTTGAGACCGTACGCCTCACAACCCTTCAGGAACATCTCTATGTTCTCTCTCTGTGGGGTGTTAAGCACCTCATTAGATTAACTTTATGCTCAAGGTAACACATTAAGTAGAAAGGAGACTCACAAGCTAGGTTTATCGTGTCACACATCATGACAAGCAAAAGAATCACTAAGAATATGCTACGTATAATGCACACAGTTCAGATATTTTTCGAGGCGAAATGATATGAATATCAGTAACATAAACGCACCAGGGCTTCGACACATGGTAAAAACTGTAGAGAAATAAATGATTAGTTGGTATACTTGAGAACAGGTGCTAAGCTGACCTGTTTGAAGGGAGCCTTCATGGTGTTCACTTTCTTGACGAGGCCGGGCTGTAGCGCGTTCAGCAGTCTGCAAGGCAGTCACATTACTCTATAGCAACTCGATCATAAAATGTTTTCATAAAAATATAATGTACAAGACTCTAGTATTAACTCGATCATCAAATGTTTTCATGAGAAATTTCAAGAAAAAGACTCTAGCATTATTTTTAGGTAATAAATGCTATGTCAAAAACTCGATCATCAGGTATGGATCAAATATACTAAGTCAAAGAATCGATTATCATGAGTGCTTTTTAAATAATAATAAGTCAAACTTTGTCAACGCAGTAAATCATTGTAATTCTACCGCAATGAACATTGAAAATGACCTAACATGTTAGTTATAGTTGTGGCATTGTAGCGAACATCCTCTAGATATTGTCAGTCGTCCTCATCGGGTGGGAACTAGAAAAACTGCTAAGTAGTCAATAGTTTTGAAGAATCGGTATCATAAAGGACATAGAAAAAAATATTACAATAAAATAAATTGGAATGACGAAAATATTTTATTGCTTGAATATATTTCTATGAGGTGATCCTGGAAAAAATATAACTCAGTACGCACTGCAGTGAGTGACAGAGAGCGCATTTTCTCGTCCGTCCGCGAAGTCACGGACAGACGGACAGACAGACGGACATGACGAGCACAATAGCGTCTTTTTCCCATAAATGAGAAAATGCGATAAAAAGGAGACCTACTGGCAGATGGCAATGCCGACCAGTAAAGAGGAGAAGACTTACTGGCAAATGTCAACACATAAATGAGAGAAGAGATTCACTGGCAGATGGCAATGCCGAGCAGTAAAGAGAAGACTAACTGGCAAATGTCAACACAGAAATGAGATAAAAGACTCACTGGCAGATGGCAATGCCGAGCAGTAAAGAGAAGACTTACTGGCAAATATCAACACAGAAATGAGATAAAAGTCTCACTTGCAGATGGCAATGCTGAGCAGTAAAGAGAAGACTTACTGGCAAATGTCAACACAGAAATGAGATAAAAGACTCACTGGCAGATGGCAATGCCAAGCAGTAAAGAGAAGACTTACTGGCAAATGTCAACACAGAAATGAGATAAAAGACTCACTGGCAGATGGCAATGCCAAGCAGTAAAGAGAAGACTTACTGGCAAATATCAACACAGAAATGAGATAAAAGTCTCACTTGCAGATGGCAATGCTGAGCAGTAAAGAGAAGACTTACTGGCAAATGTCAACACAGAAATGAGATAAAAGTCTCACTTGCAGATGGCAATGCTGAGCAGTAAAGAGAAGACTAACTGGCAAATGTCAACACAGAAATGAGATAAAAGACTCACTGGCAGATGGCAATGCCGTCCTTAAGGGCGTGCCCGAAGTCGAGCTGGTCGCTGATGCCCTCCTCGTTGGAAGGGAGGTCCAGGTTTGTGCCCGTGACGGCCTCTATCCACTCGCACACTCTCTTGGCGCGCGCTGGGTCGAACTTTGCCTGGCTCTGTCATCAACCACACATTCTATTACTTAAAAATTTATATTACATATAATATTATTTAAATATAAATATTATATATTTATATAATTTTTATTTAAATATTATTTAAATATAATATTACATATATTTAAATACTTTCACACCCTATAGAGAACTAAGTTATAATTTAAACTACATATACTTCTACTACTGTACAATTAACAAGTCATTTGATTGTGATTTACGCTCCGAAGACTTACTGACCTTGCAGCACACATAAGATTAAAGATTCCATAGACATAAATATAAAATCTGAATACTTTGTGGTCTAGCGAAAAAATAAAGATCAATTAGTAATTAACGGTTTAAGCACTTTTTGGCTCTGACACTAACTCAATATTTCATGATTAACTGAGACGAATATTTTTCCAGTGACATTAATTAACAAATTCGTACGGAAGGAACATCTTTCACCTAACCTTTGACATAACAAAACTTGTTAACTGTACTTCATTGACTTTCAAGCAGTAAGCCTTTTGAAATTATTGATTGTCCCTGCAATATACAATCAAATGTACACTTGCATTCCATTCATGGAAGTCCGATAAATTATTTGCGTAGCAACAATCCGATATAGCGTTACTTTGAAACTAACGACCGCTCTCAGATCAGCCATTACGATCTGTAGTTATATGAAGCATGAAGCTAGATTTCAAGGGACCAACCCATATTTTAATATAACTCAAGGAGGGTAATTTAAAGGTGGTCTTTTAAGAAAATTTAACTTAGATTTACAAAAGTATTTCAAGCGGGAAAATCGTCATGAAGATGTTCCATTCAAACACAAGTTTTACATACGACAAAAATCAAGCAAACATACAACGACAAAAATCAAGCAAACGCTTTGACAGAAACGAGGCTAGAACAATTTTAAAGAAGTAAACAAGAGCGGCGATCACTAACGATGTTGGCCGCAAACGTCAACATGGCAGGCCCTAAGCTGATGAGATGAACGTGCCTAGTTGCGGACACAACACCAGGTCGACCACACCCCGTGCTTAATTTCACTAAACTTAAGCACTTCATTTGCATTATACTTAAGAGGAATATAATATAAATGGCAAGCCGTCTCGGGCTACAACAATTGATATAATCATTATTGTTTTAATTATTATCTCACGTGAAGGTATGCTATAGAAGGACTATCATAATATCAAGCATGCATCAGTAATTTGCTCACATTCGTTACGTACAACCACCAATAAAGTTGTGAAGCAATATGTCCTATATAGTTGTCAACACTGTCCAAACGACACAACACAGGCCCTTCGGTAAAAATTCAACCTCGAGCAAGTTTTCAGCGCCGACACCAATATACTATCACAAATATGAAGCCTGTCACAAATTCTAAGCCTTCCATAAGCCATAAATATACGTTACCGTATGCAGACCGCGGCATTGTCCCCACTACAGACCGCACTAGTTCTGCTCAACTCGAGACCACATTGTTGCCCTTACCGCTGCAACAACAGTCGGTCGCATGAAACTCATTGTGCTGATTCAGCAGATTGTACAGTGACGGACAAATATTGCTTCATATGCACACCTCATTCTCTCATTACCATCTCATTCAGCCACACATAGGGTTCGTTGTTCTCATTAACATTATCATTAAGATTCATGTGGGGGAACCTATTTCGATGCTGTGACTGTTTTGATCCTAGTCACATCAAATGATCAAAACAAACATCGACTGGCATCATTTAAATGCGACGAGCATAGACAGTAGACACAGGCAAGAGCAACACGAACATCAGACAAAAGAATTTATTTACGAGCGCTCCTAATGCAATAAAGTTGGGACGAATGTTTCCCTAGAAACATTAAGCGAGAGAAATACACTAAACTATTGATGACGATGAGAAATAAAATAAATTATTGTTAATAACAAACACACAAGCACCCGCAACAACCTGCGGTCACTGCGCCAGGCCTCGGAGGACTATCAGTGGCATATAGCTATAATACGCTGGTGCGTATGAGGCTAGAAGAACCTCTAAACATCGCTATAAGCTGGTGCGTATGAGGCTAGAAGAACCTCTAAGCATCGCTACCTATAAGCTTATCGCTATAATAAGCTGGTGCGTATGAGGCTAGAAGAACCTCTAAGCATCGCTATAATAAGCTGGTGCGTATTAGGCTAGAAGAACCTCTATGTATCGCTATAATAAGCTGGCGCGTATGAGGCTAGAAGAACCTCTATACTTAAGCATCACTGGATTTGCGTCATGTTTTGTGTACCGGCACTACGTTACGATTAACCAATGTTTATCTATTTACTTTACTATTTTAGATTTTCAGCGAGCCTCTTTACGCACGTACACAAAAAAGGGAAAAAAGTAGTCGCATTGTGAATACCTAAAATTTTTTTTTTTTTCGCTTCCCCCTCCTGTACAAACTACAAATTGCTATTCTTTGGTTCAAACAAACTTCACGTGAAGAAACAAAACGAGAAATTGTATACACTATTCAGGGCACACGGAGCAGACGGCGAGTCTGGCGTGGCGAGCGAGACAAACCGAGTGTGTATCTGGCATCCGTTTCCGCAGCTGCTGCAGTCCATACAGATACGTCTATTTATGCTCCGATATAATGCCACCTTAGTATATGAAGTAGCTGAGCTAATAATCAATAGTATACTTCATACGTAATGTACTATATATGTTATATACTTGCAGCATGTAGTCGGTTATACGTAAGTCGTCACCACGATACATGAACCAGTTGACCGCATATCACCATTTTTTTCGCGCGCTGAATTAGTTATCAGCAAAGGAACGCTCAAGAAACCAACAAGATACAAAATGAGCTTGAACATTAAAATGTACACAAAATAACTAGTACCAGTGGTCAGCAGCCTACCGTGGCGTGCAGGTTGTACTCGATTTGACAAAAATCTCTCGGTGCAGTACTGCTTTGTCGACATAAATTTTGACCGATATTCAAGGTTTTCCGCGCGATTGTAGGTTTAGCGACAAGCGACCAGTGTGCCGTTGACATTACGCGACGGCAGAAGTCGCCATGAAGTTCTCTCGCTTAGCTACGACACACCGGACTACGATGATGCCAGAAAAGTTGTCTCAATCCGTGTTTTGCTCCCGAGTAATTATTTGAGAGAAGTAGTAGATTTCGGCGCGATGTCTCCTCATGTTGAAAAGAGACCATCCCATTTCCTGATGCTGATATATTCTACGAAGCTGATATTCTACGCAGCTGATATTCTACGAAGCTGATATTCTACGAAGCTGATATTCTACGAAGCTGATATTCTACGAAGCTGATATTCTACGAAGCTGATATTCTACGAAGCCAACTTCCATGCAGCCGACATTCCACGCAGCCGACATGCCACACAGCCGACATGCCACGCAGCCGACATTCCACGCAGCCGACATGCCACGCAGCCGACATGCCACGCAGCCGACATGCCACGCAGCCAACTATCCACGCAGCCGACATTCCCCGCGGCCGACATTCCACGCAGCCGACATGCCACGCAGCCGACATGCCGCGCAGCCAACTATCCACGCAGCCGACATTCCACGCGGCCGACATGCCACGCAGCCGACATGCCACGCAGCCAACTATCCACGCAGCCGACATTCCACGCGGCCGACATGCCACGCAGCCGACATGCCACGCAGCCAACTATCCACGCAGCCGACATTCCACGCGGCCGACATGCCACGCAGCCGACATGCCACGCAGCCAACTATCCACGCAGCCGACATTCCACGCGGCCGACATGCCACGCAGCCGACATGCCACGCAGCCAACTATCCACGCAGCCGACATTCCACGCGGCCGACATGCCACGCAGCCGACATGCCACGCAGCCAACTATCCACGCAGCCGACATTCCACGCGGCCGACATGCCACGCAGCCGACATGCCACGCAGCCAACTATCCACGCAGCCGACATTCCACGCGGCCGACATGCCACGCAGCCGACATGCCACGCAGCCAACTATCCACGCAGCCGACATTCCACGCGGCCGACATGCCACGCAGCCGACATGCCACGCAGCCAACTATCCACGCAGCCGACATTCCACGCGGCCGACATGCCACGCAGCCGACATGCCACGCAGCCAACTATCCACGCAGCCGACATTCCACGCGNGCTGTGTAGCTGTGCTTGCTGTGTAGCTGTGCTTGCTGTGCTTGCAGTGTAGCTGTGCTTGCTGTGTAGCTGTGCTTGCTGTGTAGCTGTGCTGTGCAGCTGCATGGTACTAGGAATCATGCTACACATGCTTGGTGCAGCGATAGCACCAAATCTGGTGCAGAAATGTGCGAAGGTGGCTTCCAGGCTTCTCTCACAAAACTGAATGGATAAGATCAGCCAAATAGTGCCAGTTTCAGCACGTAGCACTGATACGCTCATAACTGAGTCAAGTGACCCACATAAGGGCAGAGTGCATCGCAATTTGGATAAAGGCCAAAGGTTTTGGAGGGCGGCCAGAAAAAGATCGAGCGTCTGGCGCCGCTGTAGCAAGCCTTACGTCACGGCTGATCCTGCAGCCTCCTACAGAACATTACAATTGGCGGTTGTCATATTCCTACATAAGTTAAACTCATCCTCTAGCATCCACATCCTTATTTTTATAAAAAGTGTCAGTGGTAGTATTACGCCAGTAGCATTACAAGGGAGAGCTACCATCCACCTGATGTAGCTCTCCCTCGTAATGCTACCATCCACCTGATGTAGCTCTTCCTCGTAATGCTGCCATCCACCTGATGTAGCTCTCCGTAGTAATGCTGCCATCCACCTGATGTAGCTCTTCCTCGTAATGCTACCATCCACCTGATGTAGCTTTACACAGGAGGGCATTACGAGGGAGAGCTACATCAGGTGGATGGTAGCAGTGCGCACGGCACGACATACAGACAGGTCAGAGAGGATGTACGTACAGGGAAAGCTGTACGACTGTGCGTACAGGGAGAGATGAATTCCATCAACTCC